CTGAGTGAATTTTTAAAATATTGACTATTTGTCGGACGAGACCACTGTGAGTTGATTTGAACGGCATTTGCAGGCCGACTACTCCGCCGAGCAGCGCGACGAGATCAGCAGCCGCATCGAGGTGTGCCTGTCCTCCATCCCCGAGCCCCCGTACGCGGATCCCGCCTCGGACTGCCGCAACCACGCCCTGGGCCATGCGGACGAGGGCTCCCCCAAGGAGACCCTCGTCGACTTCATCGTGCCCTGCCTCGAGGGCAAGAAGATCTCCGCCGCGGTCGTGGCCCAGGGCCCCGACGTGCATCGCCGCGTCCCTTGCACAGCCCCTGTGATTTCCAAAGGGTTTCTCTTATCTGTGACGTGGCAATTTAAATTTATGTTATGCAGAGTAAAATTGGTTCCATTCATTTTTGGCCCGCAAAGGATGAGTTTCGATGTGATATCAAGAAACCCATATTGCCCCCCAAACCGACTAAATGTTTCACTGACTTTCTGACTGACTCACTCACTCATATAAATGTTTGGGGTCGAGGAGTGGTCGTAGAGGCTTGCGGTTTTTCCATTCGATTCCAAATTTTATGAAAAATTGGAAAAACATCCCAAAAGTTGAAAATTCCTCACAGTTTTCGAGCAAAACCCCCTCAATCTTAAAAAAGGGACCGACCGACTGAAAATTTTTATTCGCCCTATCGATAGGTCTAGTCGAGACATTTCCGAAACTGTGCCGTAATCGGGTCCCCGTCACCGGCAACATCCTCAAAATCATCAATGAAGAACCTATATCATCAAGAACCTATATATCAATCAAGAACCTATCTCCTTGGGCAGTAATAGTAGCTTAAATATATATATGGTCTAAAGCATTAAATGACCCCCCCAAAAAAGCAGTACATTTACTTAGAAAATTTGTCTCTGGTCACCACGGACTTACCTAAAATACTTCGGTATGCGCCCCACTTATGCGGGGGTCTGGAGGCGGAGCCCCCAGCGAGCGTCGCGAGTAAGATTCATAAAGACACAAGTTGAGTTATCTCCTTTCGCCATTTTGTGCAAAGGAGTTATGTGGACTTCGGTTGAGTTACCTCCATGTTCCTAAAAAATTTAGACCATAAAAGGGGCCAAGTTGAGTTATATCCATTTTTCATGTGGATTTTCTCCTAAACTTTTAGGAATTGGGTCAAACAATTTGGTCTAATGATGCAAACCATCCATAGGCACAATAATAAGGTAAAAAGTCAATTTGGAGACAAGTCGAGTTATTTTCTTCTTCCGCTTCCTGGATCAAATGTTTTTCGAGCAAAGTCAAGGGGATGGCGTACAGAGCCAACATCTGTTTTGCGATTGGGTATAGTTTTGGTCAAACAGTTCTAAATAAACCGCTTTACGGCGAGCGTGGAAAAGTCCTTTAACCAAATCCGCCGAGTTTCGGTGCACTCCACAAAAATTGTCCTGTCAACGCCGTTAATTTATTACCAATGTTTGCTGTTATGCAATTCACGGCGTTTGCTGTGAACTAGTTCACGGCGTTCATTGTGATCTCGGTTACAGTGATCACTTTATCTGGCCACAGTAAACGCCGTGAATTGGAGCCTGATTTGCAGTACTTCGATTCAGCGGCGTCAAACTCACAGTGTTTACTGTAGCCAGATCACAGTGAACCCGTGAACAAGATCACAGTGAATCGCGTGAGCAGATCACAGTAAAGCTGTGAGTTGACCTACAGTGAAAACTGGTAAAAATTAACGGCATTGACAAGGACATTTTTGGTAGAGTGTGGCGACCCCAGTGGCGCTCCCGAGTGGCGTGGAGTGGGACTTCGCGGAATCAGTGGCGACCGACCAGTGCGCGCTCGCCGCTCGGCCGGCGGATTAGGGATCAAGGACTTTTCCGCGCTCCTGGGCCCCCGGGCCGGCCGTTCTGCTCTCGCCGTCAGCGATTTATTTAGAACTTTTTTAACCCAAAAACTATACTTATTTTTTGTAAGAGTATATTTTTAAAGTTTGTCCACTAACCAAAGGGGCAACACTCCACAAAACCCTTATTCGTATTAGCAACAATAATACTTAGTATTTTTAAGTAAGTACGACTAATTTCCTTTGTTAAATTATGTAAAAAAAAAAAATGTCGTACAATATTGAATATTTTTTAAGTAGTTCATTAAAAAAATACGTTTTGGGGTTGCAAAAATTGCTTGCATAGGTACTGAAAAAAAAAGCAAAAGGTCAGTAACGTGCTGAGAGTGTTTTTTTTGGACGACTGGTCCAAAATCATCGGGGTTGTTGACAGCCTGACGTTGATTCTGTAAAGACCAAAACAATAATCGTTTCTTAAAGTTGTTTTCATTTAAGAAGAATTTAATGAGGAGTGGGAAAAAAATTGAACGTCTGTACACGTTATGAGATACTCGTAGTAGGGTAGTAGTCGATTTCACTGCCGAAGTTGCTTGGAAGCGTGGTTGAAACCCGGTCTCAAACCCCGGAATTTCCCAGATTACTGCACCGCGACGCTCCCAAACTGTGCCACGAGTGAGCTCTGGGAGGGGGGCCCCTAGGATGTGGATGACTCCATGCCTCTCGGCGGAGACTCCGCTAGGCAGGGGAAGCGCTCATCCAAGGGCCTCCAAACACGTTTGACATGACCAAGAACATAAAAATTGTTCTTTAATACACTGGTAGAAAAGCGTCCAATGATCAAAATTTTCAACTGGCAAGATGAGAATCAAATATAAAAAGTCATAGTAATTTAAATTTTAAGAAACAAATTATTACATTTGATAAACAAACTCAAATTTTGTGAACTCGTTTTTCAATTTTTAAAAAAGTTTCTGAAAGTTACCAATATTTTCATTACTTGTCAGAAATGTTTTTGGGCAATGTATAAAATTTTTTTAAACTTCACAAAACCCTTTTTGAGTTTTTATATCCTTTCAAAAAGTTATTAAAATTAAGATGTCATTATGCATTAAATTTAAGAATTTTTTTAACAGTGTGTCGTTGGCTTTTAAGCTCAACTTCACAGCTTTGCTCAGTCGACAAAAAATTTTGTTGTAGAAAGACTTCCTGCGTTCCTGGTTGACACCTACATGAGTCGTCTTGCATGGACTCTATTCATTGATGACTTATCGACAATTTTAGTGACGGAATCTTGATATCAGCCCTATTTTTTTCAACACACACCTAAAAGTTTCAAAAAAAGGAAAAAAATTAAATTTTTTTCAATGTTAAATTTGAAATTGATATCTCAGGACAAAAGGGAAAATTGAAAATTCCGTCACTAAAATCTCTTCTAAACATCTTAAGGATAACCCAAAAAATTTTCAAGACTTTCCGTTCCAATAAAAGACGCAGGAAGATTTTTCCCAACGCTCAAAAAAACCACTAAAAACCCCTTTTCTCAGAGACCGTTCAACTTTTTTGATTGAATTTTGTTTTATGAACTCACCATAATGAACCTAATAATCAAGAAAAGTTTCAACTTTCTGGGATTATTTTATAGCCTACTTGAAAGTTTCACCAGGGTCCCCCCTTAAGAAACGATATGCCTTTAAAAAACAAAATTAATGTCGTTCTTCAACGACATTATCACATGGGAGGGACTCGTTCTTTACAAAGCTAGATTGATGTGCCAGTCGCTGATCGTTACATGAATTGTCCTCTGACGATTTGTAATTTTGCATTTCAACGAACGCTTCCGGTTGGTTCTCCTCTCAGGCAGGGAACATCCATGCATCGCGATATTTCGAATTTACACTAGATTCCGTGAGTCCGTGCCAAAAACCTGTTTTTTCCATGACCAAAACCCTCAGAAGGACACATTTTTTAAAAAAAATGAAACTTTTATTTCGTCTCTCATCTCCAACATAAGACATGCAACACCTCCCAAGAAATTTTCATTAGGAAAAACCGCTAGCAGTTCTGAGACATATATCACGATTAGCGTGAAACGATATTTCTTTATGACCAAATTTTTCTAAAAATTATCCATTGTCATTTGGGAAAATACCCTCCTAGTTTTTTTTTGGGCCCAAAGATCTCTGGTCGTTGTTGTTTGCGTTCCAGTGGCGTTCTATATCAAAAGATGCAAACACTTGAAAAGGGGTTATTTTTCACATAATGCACTAAAAACGTCTCTCTTTCATGCTCATTTTCTCAGTATTTCTCATTGCAAGCAAAAAAAAAATTCATTTACGATCTAGCGACTGGCACTCCCTTTCATTTGATACCACTCTCATTTTCCCACATGCTGTCAGATCTGAGATGAAAGATGTCCCCCAAAAAATCATTTTTGAACACAATACTCGTTCTCTTCACATAGATTTTGTATGTTAGTGAGTGGTGTGTAAAGAACGGTAAAAAAATCGTCTCAGATATTGTTCCTAAAACCGAGAATAATTATTGAAATTTGGGGGTCTTGATTGTAGGGGCTGCTTTGATAGCAACTGAAAGTCACTCTTTCAGTCAAGAAATCAGTCAACCATGCAGTTCATGAAATCATGGAGAAACCCTCACATGAAATCACTTACAGTTTGAAAGCCTCGAGGGGTGATGTGACGGGGGAATGCGGCTAGGGGGAAAAAATTCATCCAAAACCATTCTGATGTTGTGCTGCTTTTCGCCAGGGCGTCCATCTTTTAGTCAGGTAAAAACCTTGTTCACTGTTCACTTCACTGGAAGTTCTGCCACAGAACTTCCGTCCCCAAAATGTGTCATGGCATAATAAACAGCGGTGGGACATCACGTAAGTCACTTAAGTCCAAGTCCAAGTACAAACAACAGTCCTTTAGAACGCGAAGAGAAACGAAGGCCTATCTTCTGAAACTTGTGTCCAAAAATTCAAAAACCCAAATACAAAGTTCGAAAACAAACAACAGTCGAAAGCCGAAAATCACTGATTGAGTGTGAATAATGATTCGGTTTAGTAACCAAAAGGAGCCGGGCAGCGGGGTGAACTGAGCGGCCAAACTGGCACTGGGTTTTTTTCTTGTTCTTGCTATTTTTGACGTCAGTACCGAAAATCCTGTAGGGCCAACAGGCAACAATAAAATCGTAGCGTTCTCTCGCTTTTCCCACAGTAATAAATCGAAGACGTTACAAAAGGTATTTCTCACTCCCATTCAACAGCACATGAAAAATCCCACAAAAAACGAGTACATTTCTGTCAGCTTTGTGAATCTTTTTGATGTAGTGTACAGGAAGATTCGTCGCGGGAGTGTGGTGTGCTTGCAGACGCCGGCAAACCTTTATGTGTAAACAACGTTTGTGGCGAAATATATTGGTAAATAACAGTGTTATAACTCAAATCGACCATTTTTAAAGTGAATTGTGGCTCAAGATGGATATAAATGGTCGTTGGTTCACTACGCCTGAAGAATCAGATATGCTGAGAGGGGAAAATGGAAGTGTTTAGCAGCCCCTAACCTCCACGTTGATGTTTACTCTTCAAGAATTTATATTTTGCTATTAATTGCTAATGGTACGACAACAATAATTGATATTGAGGATTGACATCAGCACCGTGTGGGCCTGTAAATGAAAGCTAACCTCTACCATTTGCGCCGTGCACAATTACTTGTCAGTGAAGAGAACTTGACTCTGGGTAAGGATTATTTTGATAACATAAATATCATTCCAGTGAATATATATATTTATATTTAAATATATAACAGTCAACATAAATAAACATTCCATTAAATGTCAACGCCAATAAAAAAAATTGATATTATTTTCATTCAAAATAAACTATGTCAGGTCCAAAAATAAAACTTAACAGACTCATTGGTGAGAAACCCTCTGAAGTTTTTGACTTTTCTTGTCTGAAGTTCTTCTGTGCTTGTCCTTAATTCTGACGTTCTCGTCTTTAAGCTTGTCCTGCAGAACTTGTTTGACAATATCATTGATAAATTTTGGCTTGTACTCTTCATCATGAAGTAAACAGAAGTTCAGTGACTGGACCTCAGGCAGAGTAGTAACAAATAACTCAATCCGTTTCACGATATGTTTCAGATGATACGAAGGTTTTGCCAGCTTCACTGCGTGTGCAATTGCTTTCACAGCTTCAGCAACTTCTATGGTTGGCAACAGTTTGGATGAATCAGAGATGCTTGATGTCATCGTGTGGTCAAGATGAAGCGGATATTGGGCCTCTGTGTGCAGCCGTCCCTTACAATCCAAGCAGTTGCCAAGGTTGGTCATAATTTTATCAACATATGGTGTTGCAAGTTTGGCACTGGCCATCATGTCCAGTCTGTTTCCATTAACGTCTATGTCATCAGGATCCTCCAGCTCTTCATTGAGATCCAGCCACAGGACCTCCTCCACCACTTGGCTTTGTTGAAGTGCCCTGGCTTCTAGAGACTCCAGCAACTCTTCCATTGAAACAAGGTTAACAGCCTCATCATCACGGCAGTTTTTTCCTTTTGATAAAGCTGTGATGTTTTTGACGAAGGACCTCATAAAGGCTGATGGAATTTCTGCTGCCGAAGGATTTCCGTTGTGCCCAAGATTACCACGAATGCCACAGAAAAGATTTTCCTCACAATCTTGATTGATGTGGCCGACTGGTAAGTACAAATATCCTTCTGATTGAAGATCTTCCCACAGAATTTTGTAACCATTCATGGTTCTTGTCCAATTCTTCATGACCTGTACTTTTGTTGACCCCAGGAATTGCCAATGCTCCATCTCAAACAAAAGCTGGTTCCAAAGTTGGATGTGGGCACTGGATGCAGACAAGGCACATTTAAAATCATCGGGTGCAGGATTTTCTTCATAGATAGTGCCATTAAATGAGTCAAAAAAATTATTTATGAGCTCACAAAATTTTCCAGTCTCCATGGCTTCTGGTGGCAGAATACCTAGTGAGGTGTATGTCATAACACCTGATCCTGTAGTTTTGCTGAACAGCTGTGCAGCCAAATTTACATTCATTTTGTCGAAGCGACCTGGATCAACGTGACGCATGGTAAGTTTCTTGGCCAAACGTACCTCTCTTTCCATATCGTGCAAGATGAAGGCCTTGATAAATTTTATATCAATCAAAGATCCATCAGGACGGAGAAGTAAATAGAGCTGAAGTGCATTACGCAGGCTCTTAAGCATATGGGGAGCATCAACCAATGTTACAATTTTTTTTCCTTTGAGGAAAAAAAACGGTTTCTGAATGAAAGCACCCAGCACCTCCATGGCTGTAATGTTCTTCTGCAACCCATCTGTTATCAGGGCTCGCACATCTGCACCTGCATAAAAAACCGCCTCCATAGACTCCTTGAAAATGCTTGCAAATTCAACACCTGTCATCTTCTTGTCAGTAAAGAAGTAGGCCACTGGAAGTTTCCAAGAACCATATGTGCTCCTGAGCATTGGGACAAGAACCTCTTCTGCTTCTGTTGGTCTTCTCCGTCCATCCCCAATATCAACGAAACCAGCTATTATGTCAAGGCTTTCCAAGAGAGTAAGAAAAGCTCTTATAGACATCTCATCAAAAATCGAGGGGATATGCGCTCTCTGAACCTGTGTACCGACTATTACGCTATTACGCTCTATTACTCCACAAATTAATCGGAATTTAGCTAAAAACGGCCTAAAACACACCAAAATTGATAAAATTTTGACAATGTCGGCTATTACGCGACTATTACGCGTATTATTACGCGTGCTATTACAGATAGAGTGAACCGACTATCACGCGAGTGCATACCCCCTCGTCAAAAATAATACTGCAAATTCTTTCCTGTGGAGACATTTTTTCAAATTTACTTTTCAAAAGATCTAAAAGCAGTGGATTTAATCCAGGCTGTAAATCCAATTTTCTTGTCAGTGCCGTTAATGTTTTCCTTGTTGGCTTGGTGAAAGGCAAGCCTCTGAAGCATTTTGGCCCCCTTTGCCTCATGGTTTCATACTCAGCCAATTCTCCCTTTGTCCATCTGCGGGCTTGGGGCTTACGATTGAAGTTTCTGACCTCAGCCCTTACCAGTTGGTGGAGGCGGGGGTTCATTTGACCTCTTAACAGGAGTCTCCAGGTCGGCCGCCGGCCGTGCCTCCGCGCGGGGAGCCGATGCAGACCGAAATGAAAATCGCGATTTCTCAAAAACGGCTTGGCCAAAAAATTTCAAACTTGGCACAGAGACTGGCAATAGACCAGGCCCGCCTCCGGTCCGGTCAAATCCGGTCCGACATTGCCTGTTTGCCTACTGGCGTGATCGGCTCGAAAAACGGAGACCGCCGTATCTCGGCTCCTGGGCACGATATCGAAAATCGGGCTTTTCAGCGTTGTAGTCCAACTCGTTCCCTGCCGCCTCTCCAAATTTGAAGTCAAAATCCTGAACGGTGTGGCCGTAATTTGGGAAACGCCGAGACGAAAAACGCGACTTTTCGGCGACTGGCGTGGCGGAGGCAGGCTGGAGGCAAGCAAACAGGCCTGATCAAGGGACCGGCCCCCGAAGTGCCCCCGCCGCACCCCCCCCCGCCCCGCCCCCCCTGCACTGCACTGCCAGACTGCCATTGTAATGCCCCCGGCCGTCTGGGGCTCGCGCCTGCCTGGCTGCCGGGGTGCATCCACGTACCTGCTCTAGCAGTGTCTCCGTCGCACTAGCAGTGACGACGGCACAGACGAAGAAAGTAGCTGTCGACGTCTGGGATGGCTATGCGGACGCCCCGGGGCTCCGGCGAGGAGGCGCGGTGCGGTCCCAGCCGATTCCGAGCCAGCCGCGGCAAGGGGGAAAAGTTCATCAGAAATTGGCTGAAAATGGCACGTTTTTCAACATTTGTACCTATATGCGTTTCGAAGCGCGCTGATCTGTTCTATACCCATGAAAATTGTTCGATGATTTATTGTCAAAATTGTCCTAACAATTTCTCGTTTACACGCAACTTCCTAGTTTTTTGAGCTGATTCCGCCACTATCCGTAAAATATCAACTTTCCGAAAATTTCAAAATTTTACTTCCGCTCCTAGTCTCTTTTGTTTGGCCTGAATGGGGCTGGGTTGGGCTGGGCAGGCGGGGCCACATGCCTGGCTCCGACCCTCGAGCAGGTATATTGCCATCGCCACACAAAAGAGACTAGGAGCGGAAGTAAAAATTTTGAAATTTTCGGAAAGTTGATATTTTACGGATAGTGGCGTAATCAGCTCAAAAAACTAGGAAATTGCGTGTAAACCAGGGATCCTTAACTTACCTCATAAGGGCATCATAACGTTATCATAAGAGTTAAAGTTAATACCCTTCACTTCTAACATATTTTCAAAAGGGTAGGTTATTTTTTTTTGTCTCGAATTTGTGTGGATATACTTTTGCAAGTACTTTCATAAGTCCGTACCCTTAACCTTTAGCGAACATTGTCTTATGTTACGTTATGAAAGCAGTGTTAGTTAAATGTTAAGTTAAGTTAAGGATCCCTGGTGTAAACGAGAAATTGCTAGGACAATTTTGACAATAAATCATTGAACAATTTTCATGGGTATAGAACTGATCAGCGCGCTTCGAAACGCATATTGGTACAAATGTTGAAAACCGTGACATTTTCAGCCAATTTCTGATAAACCCTTTTTGCCTTGCCGCCGGCTGGCCGAATCGGCTGGGACCGCACCGCCCTTTTCGCCGGAACAGGGTGGGTTTGCAAAAACCACCAAACGCACAGGGGTTTGGTTTTCGTCTTTTTCCCCTGTTTTACCTGCCTTTTGCAAAGGGGAAAATTTTCTAGAAGCGGTTAAAGGCTGGGGTTTTTACCCCCAAACCAAAAGGGGGGGCCAGCCCCCACGGCCGGGGCTTACAAGGGAGTCTCAGTGAAATTTAAAGGGCGGGCCGGGGGGGGAGGGGGGCGGGGGAAAAAGGGGCCGGTTTTATGAAAACCGTTTGCCCCCTCCACCTTTTTTGACCCCCCCCGAAAATGGTTTTTTTCGCGTTTTCCCTTTCCCACAAAAAAATTAGGGAAAAATTTTGCTTTCCCAAATTTTTTGGAAAAGGGGCAAAAATTGGAAAAAACAAAAAAGCTGGGGGAAAACCTTTTTTTCCCCCGTACCCAGGAGCCGAGATACGGCGGTCTCCGTTTTTCGAGCCGATCACGCCAGTAGGCAAACAGGCAATGTCGGACCGGATTTGACCGGACCGGAGGCGGGCCTGGTCTATTGCCAGTCTCTGTACCAAGTTTGAAATTTTTTGGGCCAGCCGTTTTCGAGAAATCGCGATTTTCATTTCGGTCTGCATCGGCTCCGCGCGCGGAGGCACGGCCGGCGGCCGACCTGGAGACTCCTGTTAAACACTCCGAAGCATTCTCCACAGGATCCAAGCTCTTGAGGGCTTTTAATTCGGCACATTTCTTGTTGTACTTTGACCTGTAGTTCCTGCCCTCTAATTTATATTTGGAAATACAGGCCAGCAGGTGCACAACCAGGGGCGTTCGTTGGCTCTTTGGCACCCTGATTGTAGCAGATGACATAGGAGTTTTGGCTTTCTGTTTACTCTTCATTGTTGATATTTGTGCCAAATATGTGGAAGGGCCCTCTCCTGGAAATTTAAATAATCAATCAATAAAACAAAATAATTCAATTTTTTTCATTGTTTCAGTGATGGATCTTACCTGCAGAGGTCAAATTTGAAGCATCAGGTGGAGTTGAAGCTGCAGCTACAACTTTTTCTGTGGCTGAGTAACCATGATCAACAAGACTTCTTGCAAATTCTGAGGTAAGATCAAGTCCTGCAAGTTCATGAGATAAAAATTTTAAAAAATGCAAAATATTTTACACGTTTAAAAACATTTATTTGTGTCTCTTACCTGTAGCAGTCGACGTTGCAGCAGCATGTGGATGTGGGTTCCTTGAAGCAGGATCTTCGATGTTTTCTAAGGCTGCGTAATCATGATCTGCGAGACAGAAACAGAAAGTAAGTTTGACTTCATCGGTTCTCAATAAATTGTTAGTCATATTTAAAAATTGTAACAGTCATTTGCTAAATTTTTGTTCTAGAATTTTTCAAGGCGTACCTAGTAGAGGTTCAACTGGTTTCTCCACAGCTTCAGGGGGCCCTGGAGCAGCAGTGACAGGCGTGGCTTCACTGGGATCAGGACAGACGACTGCTGGCTCATCAACATCCTCATCCAGGACTGCGCCATGCAGAGGAACAATAGCTTCATCTAAAAAGAAAATTTTAATTATTATTATAATGTGGCTGTTTTAACAGAGGACTCTGTGTAAACTGAAGAATAAGTCACCTGGGAAAATATTTCTCCTTGGAACTGCTGATTCTCTCAGATGCCCTTTCCGCCCTGGTTTGTTGTAATCAATGTCCTCGAAGTGATCAGAGCAAACATGCTGTTGTGATAGAGCCTCAGGTTCCAATGATAACAGGCGCGCATTACACAGGTTTTGCAGCCATGGATCGTACCTGTGAGGAAGTTTCGGCTTTTACGTGGATTGTTTCGTTGTTTTGATGGGTAGACGTTGTTAATGTAATTAATGAAACTTTAACAGTATGAGTACTAAGTGGTTGAGGTAATATTTACAGTACTGTTTTGATGCAGCATTATCAAAATGACAAGTTTGCCCCTAAAGGTATCCCCCCCCCCCCCGGCCATAACTCCGAAGCACAAGACGTGTTTTGAGGTCCAGAGTTTATAAACAGGACTCGAACCGAACTGGTAACCTCAGCAATAATGGGTTACTCGGTAAGAGAGCAGTCTGGGTGGTTATCCGTTCCGTTCGTGACCTGTTCAACGATTCTGCTGGAGCTCAAAAAGGGGCTACATTTTTGTCCCCTATGCTGGTCTTCTGGCCCACTGTGCAGTGACGAGGTAAAACACGTGGCGCAAGTGGCTCGATTACCGAGAAAACCCTTTTATTGCCACAAAGAAAACAAGAAGAGCAGTGTGCCAGGCGTTTAGCACCATCGCGCGCATCGCAAACCGACGTAACATGAGATGCCTAACGACTTTGATGCCGTGTCTCAAGTTACCGCGGTCTGCGGCATCGCTTTTGTTTGCCTCCATGTGTGCTCAGGGCGTTCAAATGCCACCACAAGCACGATTCCTTGAAATGGAAACCACGCCAACTGGTAACACATCCCATTCGTAATCGTCGCGCCCGTTTCCTTTAAATACAAATGAATGCCGTCCACTCAATCAGCTTCGACTTGACACCGCAGCAACATGATCCGTTCCCTTCTCCTTGTCGTGGGCCTGGTGGCGGCCGCCTTCGCAGTGAGTACTTTGCTGCAGTTGCCACAAAATCACGATTGAGCTACGTTCTGAATGCTTGCCTCAGAATCTTAACGATAACATGTGAAAATCTAGCCCTCAGAGATTGTCGGTCGATTTATGTAGTTGGTCTAGTTTAGCAGCTTCACAAAGCTGCCTTACAAAACGAATGTTTAAGGTAAAAAATCAATTATGGGTCACATTTTTGAAAATTCGAAAGTAAGGCCTTTAATTCTGACCTGGTGACAAAAGTGCATGTGCGGCCTTCAACTATGGTCCTTGGACTAAGTTTTGAAGCATAGTAGCCCCGTCTATCATCCTTATTTACTAAGCTGTGACTGTTTTAAAAATAGTCTGTTTTGGCCCACAATTGATTTTTGGAACCAGTTGTGGGTCAGCATTGTAGGAAGCTCAAATTTGGATATGATTTGCTTAAATACGAGAGAAATTCACTTCTGAATTTATTTTTCGGAATCGTGAAAACTGCAGGATCTGTAGCACAATGAATCAATTGTGGGTCACATCAATTGTGGGCCATTTCGTCTTTTTGCTTGTAAATTGACCACTTTTGCAAGATATTTTCTTATTTTCATTAATTAAAGGTCCCTGGTTCTCAATAAACCAAGCAGACACGTTTTTCACTCAAAGAGGAAAAATACATAAACAGGCTAATTTCACTCTGAGACAGATGTGAGTTAAACGTCCTGGATTAGAGATGAAACTTTTGTAGTGCATATTGTAGGGCCGCCGGTGTGGTAGACAATCCAACACCACACCCTGTCATGAGGTATTGCTACAATTTATTTTCTATTTCAGTCAGAATATTTAGTTTGTAGGGATTAATTTGACTCGTTTTAACAGGGCCGGACTGGCGACTGGCCACGGGTGCCTAGCCAGCAGTTGGAGAGCGGTCCCCTTCCGGGCGCTATGTAAGCCCCGCAATGCCCCCCCCCCCAACAAAAAAGCCTTATAGCATGGCAGACTGGAAGAGCTAGCGTTGTCATCCGGGGCTGTAGCCTAAGCTTAACATAACCTTCGTATCGTAGTACTAAATGTGACAGCAGAAAAATGGAATTTACTGTGATCCATCAGTCATCCAGAAGCGCAGAAAACAAAAAATAGCAGGAAAACTACCTAAAATTCGTCTAAAATAATGGGTCTGACATGGTAGCGAACGCTACTTTGCCAGCACCCGCGCACCATGGCATCGAATGATTTCGGCCGTACTATGGTAAATTTATGTTCCCTGACCTATTATGAATCTAAATCAGCAAGGGCGTCCAATTTTATCTCGTAATAGCTTCACGGTGGCAATTTGAAAAACACACGATTTTTCGCCTCGTTGGATGGGCGCCATTTTCACGACTTTTTGAAGGGCCTTCCTTCGAAGCCTGATAGGAGCCGTTACAGTCGTCGCTCGGACATACACGCTATTTGGGAAGACAAAGAAAGGTTAGAGGAAGGTCTACCGCGAAATTCAAATCGATTCAATCTCTGTCGGGTCTGCGGTGACCCGTCGAAAAAAATGACCCACAATTGATTCGTGACCCACAATTGATCTTTTACCTTACCAGTCTCGAGCGAGAAAATGTTTGTGACGTTCTCACATGGTGACTTTCGGTGGGTCATCAATGCAGCTCACGCAACAGCAAGTCACTGCAAAATGTTCATTATTTTGAGCGCCAAAACACTCTTGAAAGATTTTTCTTTAGTAACATTTTTACTCCTTTTTTGTCTCTATTTGTTAAGATATAATTCCGTTGTACCGTTTATTGGACTGGTGTCCCTCCATTTTGAGCAGGACGACTACGCCTTCAACCAGATATACGAGATGGCCGAGCGCATCGAGGTGTGCCTCAAGCCCGTCAAGGACCGGAGCAGCTTCGAACTCCCCGCCGGCATGTGCCTGATGGAGACCCGCTGGAGCCTGGTGGGCGGCCTCGCCCAGGACATGGTGCCCGCTGACGTTGCTTCGTGCCTGAAGGAGAGGAATTTTCCCCAAACGACACTGTGGCCACCGTGGAGGAGTGCCTCGTGGACTCCATGGCCGTGCCTCTCAAGCCCGCACTCGAAGAGGTGCGTTCGTTGCAACAGCTCTCCACTGGTGACGTCAGGGTTTCAGTGTCACGCCGAACGGTTATTCAGTCAGAACACTGAGAATCCAAACGCTATGAGTATAGCGTCAATTGGTGCAATGCCCCACTTTCCTATGCATTGGCATAGGGCAGTTTTGGTAAGCATTGCACCTAAGGTGCAATATGGCTGTGGCATTGCACGTGTAGTGCGATATCTCAGCGCATTGCACCATACGTGCTACATTCATAGCGTTTGGAATCTGAGTGAATTTTTAAAATATTGACTATTTGTCGGACGAGACCACTGTGAGTTGATCTGAACGGCATTTGCAGGCCGACTACTCCGCCGAGCAGCGCGACGAGATCAGCAGCCGCATCGAGGTGTGCCTGTCCTCCATCCCCGAGACCCCGTACGCGGATCCCGCCTCGGACTGCCGCAACCACCCCCTGGGCCATGCGGACGAGGGCTACCCCAAGGAGACCCTCGTCGACTTCATCGTGCCCTGCCTCGAGGGCAAGAAGATCTCCGCCGCGGTCGTGGCCCAGGCCCAGACGTGCATCGCCGCGTCCCTTGCACAGCCCCTGTGTTTTCCCAAAGGGGTTTTCTCTTATCTGGACGTGATGAAATTTAAATTTGATGTTATGCAGAGTAAAATTGGTTCCATTCATTTTTGGCCCGCAAAGGATGAGTTTCGATGTGATATCAAGAACCTATATAGCCCCAATCCGACTGACTGTTTCACTGACTCACTGACTGACTCACTCACTCATATAAATGTTTGGGGTCAAGGAGTGGTCGTAGAGACTTGCGGTGTTTTCCATTCGTTTCCCAAAATTTTTGTGGAAAAATGGAAAAACATCCCATAAGTTGAAAATTCCTCACAGTTTTCGAGCAAACCAACTCAATCTTAAAAAAAGGGACCGACCGACTGAAAATTTTTATTCGCCCTATCGATAGGTCTAGTCGAGACATTTCCGAAACTGTGCCGTAATCGGGTCCCCGTCACCGGCAACATCCTCAAAATCATCAATGAAGAACCTATATCATCAAGAACCTATATATCAATCAAAAACCTATCTCCTTGGGCAGTAATAGTAGCTTAAAATATATATGGTCTAAAGCAGTTAAATAGCCCCCCCAAAAGAAGCAGTACATTTACTTAGAAAATTTGTCTCTGGTCACCACGGACTTACCTAAAATACTTCGGTATGCGCCCTACTTATGCGGGGGTCTGGGGGCGGAGCCCCCAGCGAGCGTCGCGAGTAAGATTCATAAAGACACAAGTTGAGTTATCTCCTTTCGCCATTTTGTGCAAAGGAGTTATGTGGACTTCGGTTGAGTTACCTCCATTTTCCGAAAAAATTTAGACCATAAAAGGGGCCAAGTTGAGTTATATCCATTTTTCATGTGGATTTTCTCCTAAACTTTTAGGAATTGGGTCAAACAATTTGGTGTAATGATGCAAACCATCCAGAGGCACAATAATAAGGTAAAAAGTCAATTTGGAGACAAGTCGAGTTATTTTCTTCTTCCGCTTCCTGGATCAAATGTTTTTCGAGCAAAGTCAATGGGTATGGCGTACAGACCCAAACATCTGTTTTGCGTTTGGGTATAGTTTTGGTCAAACAGTTCTAAATAAACCGCTTTACGGCGAGCGTGGAAAAGTCCTTTAACCAAAACCGCCGAGTTTCGGTGCACTCCACAAAAATTGTCCTGTCAACGCCGTTAATTTATTACCAATGTTTGCTGTTATGCCAGCGGTTCTCAACCTTGGGATCGCGACCCCAAATGGGGTCGCGAAAAAATTTTGTGGGGTCGCGGTGAGGTGGCTGGGGTCGCGGCGGTTTCCCGCTTGGCCCTCTGGCCGAGCATAGAAACCCTCCCGGGCACTGCCGGGAACCTACGCAGATTCGCGGAAACTATAAAATCCACTGCTTGTTTGTCGCTGCACGGATATTTGAGGCCTGCAAGCGCCATGAACAAGCGGGAAAATCCTTCTTGGAAGTGTACGGAGGGGAGGGGGATTAACTCTTTGGAGGTAAAGGACGCATCGACGACATTACTCTGTAGTGATCCACGATCCACAATTCGCTTTGTGGGCGTTGGTCGTTTTGTCGTTGGCTGCCTTAGGCGACGGGGCGGGGTCGAAAGCCGAGATCACCACAGTCCGCGGATCGGATAAAGAATGATGATATTTCTTTTACAGACGTTTAATTATAATATTTCGAAATTAATTTTGTGATTTTTTGATTTTTTTAGGGGGGGGAGGAGTGGGGTCGCGTGGGGTCGCGAAAGTTTTCCTGGGGGTCGCGAAAATTTTGGCTACAAATTTGGGGTCGCGAGCCGAAAAAGGTTGAGAACCGCTGTGTTATGCAATTCACGGCGTTTGCTGTGAACTAGTTCACGGCGTTCATTGTGATCTCGGTTACAGTGTTCACTGTGATCTGCACACTAAACTTCTTACGGATACATCCTATCTGTATTACGGACATTTTTGTGCAATTGCAATTACGGATAGATTTTGCTTGTAATACGGATGATTTCATCGCAAGAAGTTTAGTGTGTGGCCACAGTAAACGCCGTGAATTGGAGCCTGATTTGCAGTACTTCGATGCTCAGCGGCGTCAAACTCACAGTGTTTACTGTAGACCAGACCACAGTGAACACCGTGAACAAGATCACAGTGAATCGCGTGAGCAGATCACAGTAAACGCTGTGAGTTGACCTACAGTGAAAACTGGTAATAAATTAACGGCATTGACAGGACATTTTTGGTAGAGTGTGGCGACCCGAGTGGCGCTCCCGAGTGGCGCTGGAGTGGCGACTTCGCGGAATCAGTGGCGACCGACCAGTGCGCGCTCGCCGCTCGGCCGGCGGATTAGGGATCAAGGACTTTTCCGCGCTCCTGGGCGCCCGGCCGGCCGTTCTGCTCTCGCCGTACAGCGATTTATTTAGAACTGTTTAACCAAAACTATACTTATTTTTTGTAAGAGTATAGATTTAAGTCTGTCCACTAACCTAAGGGCAACACTCCACACAACTACGTATTCGTATTAGCAACAATAATACTTAGTATTTTTTAAGTAAGTACGACTAATTTCCTTTGTTAAATTATGTAAAAAAAACAACAAAAATGTCAGTACAATATTGAATATTTCTTAAGTAGTTCATTAAAGAAATACGTATTATGGTTGCAAAAATTGCTTGCATAGGTACTGAAAAAATAAGCAAAAAGTCAGTAACGTGCTGAGAGTGTTGTGTTTGGACGACTGGTCCAAAATCATCGAGGTTGTATGACAGCCTGACGTTGATTCCGTAAAGACCAAAACATCGTACGTCTCATCGTATAACATTCTGAATTTGAAACCGTTAAGGTTACTGTAAGGTGAAAAAACTACCTTCCAAAGTATAGGTGGCAGTGCTTTGGTTTTTGGTGATTTAGTTGCTTACTATGAAAAACTTTTACAGCCACAGACTGGACTCCCAACTCCCATTAGTTCCAAAGTTATGAGGGTTTTAATGTTATTTTAGTCGTTTACTAAAAATTCACCTTGCGATGAACCAAAAAGTTTACAGAGGTGTGATTTTTTATTTTGAAGTTCAATGGACATGCAAACAAACTAGCAAAGCCGGATTTGACAATATATGCATAGGATAGCTGGAATTTGTTTTTGGAAAATGTGATTTTCTTTTTTTACTAAATTTAGTAAAATTTTGGTAATTTTTTTAGTTTTTTGAGAAAAACTCCTGTTTGATGTTGGAATTTGGAAATCCGGCTTTGCTACAAGATAGACAAAGCAATAAAGAGCTTGTAAAACAAAAATCAAGTCTCGACAACTTTTGGTTCATCGCAAGGAGAATTTAGGAGAAACGACTAAATTTGTTACGTAAACTTCAATAACTCAGAAACTAATGGGAGTTGTGTTCCTCAACTTTGGGTTTAAGTTCATTTTATAGTAAGCAACTAAAAACCAAAATACAAACGATGATGCCACAACTATTGTGGAAAATGATATTTCACATTTTTTCACTTTACAGTAACCTTAATGCGAGCGAACGGAGAGCCACATCACAAAACCATGAGACAAGGGGTAATGGACTCGCAACGGAGCTGGCCGGAATCTCTGCCTTCCGAATTGTAGTTCACTATTTCTCCGACTAAATGTGCGATTTTTGAGATGGCTCGGGCATTTTTGGAAAGAAGACACTTTGAAGTATGCCCAAAATTCAAAAAAGTTTCAATTTTCCCACCAGGGCCCAAACAGGAACAGGTTTACCGTTGCGCTTCTCAAATGCGCAGGGCGACGGCCATGGTGCCAGGGGCGACGCAGGGGGGACGCATCTTCAACTTGCGATAGAAGCTTCCGGATGCCGCAAAAGTGACCGGACATAGTTTGTCTTCGACATATATCAAGGTGCACAACTTGTCCCATCACTTTTGCGGCATCCGGAAGCTTCTATCGCAAGTTGGAGATGCGTCCCCCCTGCGTCGCCGCTGGCACCATGGCCGTCGCCCTGCGCATTTGAGAAGCGCAACGGTGAAACTGTTCTTGTTCAAGCCCTGGTGGAAAAATCGAAACTCTTTTGAATTTTGGGCATACTTTAAGGTATCTTCTTTCTGAAAATGCCCGAGCCATCTAAAAAATCGCACATTTAGTCGGAGAAATAGTGGACTACAATTCGCAAGGCAGAGATTCCGGCCAGCTTCGTTGCGAGTCCATTACCCCTTGTCTCATGACAAAACTGAGATCAGATTTGAAGTCCTCAGGAAATTTGCCTACTATTCAACTCGAAAAGCGTACATAGTGAGCTCTACCCGGAGCATGCCTGCAAGTACGCTCTAGCTAGCGCATGCCTGCCAAGCATGCTCTCACTAGTGCATACATGCCGAACAAGAATCAATTGTAAAAGGGATCAAGTCAGCGTAATTCCCCTTAGTTTAAACAACTTAGATGGAAAAAGGAGCTAGGTCCAAAAAAAATATACGAACTCCCTGTGGTAACATACCGTCTGCACGGCATTTGTCAGCAGGAAATTGGGTGTGTTTGACATAACAGGAACCAGCCACACAATCAAGTCTGCACTGAGAAAACCTTACCCAAGGAAAACGGAATCGTCACGAAAAGGTCACCGTGAGCTGCAGGTGATGAAATTTCGTCACGATTTAAGCACATATGAGGTCACATGTGACCCGAAATCAGCTCACGATGAGCTTTTCGTGACAATTCTGTTCTCCTTGGGTACAAACCATTTGAGGACTTGCTAAGAAAAGCAGCTTGTTAAAACAAAGTATTTTGGAGCATACATAAGCTTACAAAGAAACTACTTCGTAATTTACTAACTTTTTCTTCGTGCAACAAAGTAACTTAGTTTTTGGTCCAATGAATGCTCAAAATGCTCAAAATACTTGATCCATAAAGCGGAAGAAGGGGATAACTCAATTTTCATCATTTTTCAGGAGAAACGAAAAACTGTTTGCAAGGGTAAACTTAATGCAATCAGATGAATGATGCAGTTGCATTTCTGTCGAGGAAGCCTAGGAAATAACTGAAAATTTTCAAAAGCGCAAGCATCCTTCTGTAGACGGTTTCTGTGATGTAAATCTTAACGTTGACATTGATGACGGAACCATGTTAACTTAGTTCTCCCAAACAAAGTGGAATTTGGGGACAATTCAAGAGGAGCTGAGGTCTGCATAGAGTCCGTATTTCTGTGGTACATATCGGGAACCAGCCGCACAATTAAATCTGCACTGGGAAAACCTTACAAACTATTTGAGGCCTTAAATAGAAAAGCAGCTTGTTGCATCAAAGTATTTTGAGCATACAGAAGCTCACAAAGACAATACCTAATGATTTAAGAACTTTATATTCGTATAAGAAAGCAAATTGGTTTGTACCATGAATGCTCAAAATACTTTGTAAGGTTTTTAGCGTGTGAAAAGGACAATATGAAGACCCTTTATATCAACTTTGAGGAAAACTTTAAAAAAATCACAGCGTTCAGTACTTTTCATATGTTTTAATGGATTCTGAGACAATAAAAGAGACAGGTCTACGATTGTGAGTGAAACGAAAGATGTGTGTGTACTATCGACATCGAAACAATAACATAAAAGAAGCAATGCAAACTGAACGTCAGGCTGTAGGAATTGAAAAGCTAACTGACATAAAAAACGAGTTCTCGGTTTAGAAAAACTAACTCACGAATCAAACAAGAAAGAGATTCAGCAGTCAAGCTTTCTGTCTCGCGAAACCAAAAATTATGTTCAAAACAACGACATAATTTCACTTTTAATGATACGTATGGAGCAAAGAAAATCCCATCTTTTATCCTTTCAAGGTGTTAACTTGGTTACCACAATACATACGAGAATCATCTATCCACACCGTACAAACACCGATGTGCACGATCGGTTCAGGGACAGGTCAGCACAGCCTGGACGTCAGGCGGTGGAGTTCAATGAAATGATAATAACAATGCCATGATAAAAAGGAAAATTGAGATGAACCACTGTTACTCGTCTCTCCAGGTGAAGTCTCCCATAGGCGGAAACTGTGGGCACTTTTTTTTTTTTTTAACATTTTTATTGGGTCTTTAGACAGCCTTTAACAACAAGAAATAAAAATATATAACAGATAACAACGTTGCCCAATATAACAAAAGTATGCTGGTATTTAAAATGGGTTGTTCAAAGGTGATTTTAATTCGTTTAGACGTTTGCTACCAGGGAAGTTAACAATCATTGACACATTGACACTTTAAAACCGAAAGAAGTTACCTTACATCACATATATCACATTATATTATTTACTTTATTTATTTTATTCAGGGTTTGGCATTCTTTATCACAGAAAGTTTATCACAGGGCAATACTCCGCGCGGAGCGGGGCGCGCCGGCTTGTTACCACACTGGCTCAGCGGTGGCTACGGCGGCGGCGGTGCCCCTGGCGCTGGCTGGTACACTGTCGGGGCGGTGACTTCTCACCGTGACGGGCGTTGGCGGCGCCGGACCAGGGCGTGCAGCTGGCGCTCGTCATGGACGCCGTTCTCGACGACGTACTCGGCGACCGTCCCTAGGAGTTGGACGAGGGCCTTGGTGGCGGACCCGGGTGGCACCGCGATGTCCGGGATGACGAGGGTCTCGGGCGTGATGTTGGCGGCGTTGACCCCGGTGACCTCGGCCAGCTGCGCCGCCGTCCACGTCCAGATTGCCCTCGAGGCCGGCTGGCAGGCGAGCAGGCGATGGAGTACCGTGTCCTCGGCCCCGCAGGCCCTGCAGGCGACGTCCTCGGCCTGGTTGGCGGCCTTTAGCCTGGCGTTGGTGGGCAGGACGTCGTGGACCGCGCGAAACCAGGCGGCCCTGGCGCGCAGCGGCAGAGTCTTGGAGGAGACCCTCGCCCACACAGTGCTCCAGTCGGCTGTCGGCGTCCTCCGCTGTACCCTGGGCTCGGCGGTGCTGTTGAGAAGCATGGCTTGGTACAGTGCACGGTTGAGGGCCTGACCTTGCACGTCGTCTGACATATCGACCTCGCGGCACGTCGTCCGGAGTACCGCGAAGAATCTCGCCGCGGGCGGGACGACATCGGCGTCCCCGAAGAGCTCCTGCAGCACGGCGAGCCAGCCTCCCGACAGTGTGGGCTCCTCGGCCCTGGACGCCGTCAGCCACCTCGCTGCGAACATGGCTCGGGACTTGGCGGCGGGGTCGTGGAGCCCCAGGCCCCCTCGCCCGGGCGGCAGCACCATCACGTCGAGCGGGACTCGCAGCGGCTCCCCGGCCCAGAGGAACTTGGAGAGGGCCTTCCTGGCGTCCTTGGCGACTCCGGCGGGGATGGGCAGGACCTGTGCACAGTGCCAGAGGAGCGACAAGGCGTACGTGTTAGCGTAGAACACGCGCTGGACGATGTTGAGGGCGCGCAGACGCGCGTCCACCAGGGCGGCGCGCAGGGCGTTGAGGCGTGCTGGCCAGTTGGCCTTGGACATCCCGGCGATGGTCTTGGTGAACGTCACCCCCAGCACCTTGACCTCCTCGACGTACGGGAAGGGCATCGGTGTGCTGGTCCGCCACGCGCCGAGTGGCAGGGCCTTCGTCTTCTCCCGGTTGACGCAGAGCCCCGACTCCTCGCCGTAGGCCTCCAGGACGTCGACCAGCACCTTGACCTCGCGGGGGTGCTCCAGGATGACGGTGGCGTCGTCGACGTACGAGGTGGCGGCCAGGCGAATCTGGACGTTGCCGCCGTTGACGTTGGGCAGCCCGAGCCCTACCAGCTTCCTGGAAAGGGCCCGCATCAGCGGCGACACGCAGATGTTGAAGAGCAGCATGGACGTGGTGTGACCCTGGTAGATGCCGCGACCCAGCTGGATGGGCGCGCCGAGCTCCCCGTTGAGGCGGAGCCTAGTGGTGGCCCCGAAGTACATGCTCTGGATGAGCTGGACCACGCCCTCAGAGAAGCCGTACTTGCGCAGCACGGCCCATATGTAGTCGTGCAGCAGGTTGTTGAACGCGCCGGCGAAGTCCACCGACACAAGGCACGCCGCCGTGCTGCTGCCGCGCTGCTTGTTGGCTAGGTTGACGAGAGAGATGGCGTCGCGTAGGTCTAGGAGCGCGCCGTGCATGTTGCGCGAGCAGCCGCCGCGCACCTGCATGGGATCCAGGATCTTGTGCTGCAGGGCGTCCATGCGCCTCGCGACGACGCGGCCGAAGACCTTGCCGTCCACGTTGAGCAGCGTGATTGGCCGAAGATCGCCAATCTTGGTCACGGTGGGCACCTTGGGGATGAGCGTGACAACGCCGCGGACGTGGCTGGCGCCGACCCTTCGACGCTCCATCATGGCGTTCACCACAGCCAGGAAGTCGTCCTTGAGGATGTCCCAGGTCGCGAGGTAGAACTCCGCGGTGAGGCCGTCGTCCCCCGGGCTGCGTCCGCGCGGCGACAGCTTGAGGCACTCCAGGAGCTCTTCCTCGGTGACGGGGCGCAGCAGGGCCTCGTTGTCGTCCTCCGTGACCGTGTCCTCGACGACCTCGTCGAGAAGGCGCGACGCATGGGGCGCGGGGCCGGTCGGCGGGGCGCCAAGCAGGGCCTGGAAGTGGCGGTGGGCGTGCTGCTGCAAGTGTTCCTGGCCACGAAGCACGTTGCCGTCGGCGTCCTGCAGGGACTCGACCCTGGTCGCCGCCTTCCGCCGGATCGCCGCGGCTACGTGGTGCACCCCTGGCACCTCCCCGACGACGTCCATGGCCTTAGAGCGGACGGCGAGCCCGGGAAGGCGGCGTGCGAGCAGGTCCATGATCCTGGATTTTATGGTGGCGATGCGGGGCTGGACGGAGGGGTCGGCGCCCCGCTGTGCGACCAGCTCATCGAGGCAGCCTTGGAGGAAGTCCAGCGAGTTGTCATCCGCCTGGAACTCCCGCGCCCACACTGCAAGCCGAGACCGAATCCTGACCTTGCCCTGCTCCCACCACTCGACGACGTCCTCGAAGTCCTTGGCCTTCGTCCTCCAGCTCTCCCACAGCTCCCTGAATCGCGGCAGGAACGCCGGGCTCAGCAGCAGCGACGGGTCCACCTTCCAGAGCGTCTCGCGGCGGCGGGGCGTGCTAGCGCCCGCAGCGTAGGCACCCCCTCCGACGGCCGTGCGCGCTGTGCTGCCTCCGGCGTTGTCCAGATGCAGCAGCACGGCGGTGTGGTCGGAGACGGGCGCGGCGTGCAGTTCGACTGAAAGCAAAGGCAGGGCGGCGCTGACGTACCACTTGTCGAGGCGGGACGAGCACACGGCCGAGTGGAACGTGAATCCTGGCTCGCTGGGGCGCAGGGTTGTCCATGCGTCGCGGAGCCTCAGTGACGTCACCACGTTTCGAAGCACGGGGCACGGCGTCGCCACGCCCGTCGTGTCGGCCTTGCTGAGGACGGCGTTGAAGTCGCCCCCCAGGACGATCCGCTCTCCGGCGTCCGCCATGACCAGGGGCAAATCCTCGATGAGGAAGCGCGGCCGCTCCCTCCTGCCTTTGGACCCTGCCGGAGCATAAACGTTGGTGAGCAGGACGTCGCCAACCCATGCCGACGTTGCCCGGCCGCTGGGCAGCTTCCTGATGTTCTTGAGCTCAACGCCGCGCCGCCAGAGGATCGCCGTCCCGCGGCCCGCGTCGCCGATGTTCACCGCCTCGTTGTAGCCGGAGAAGCTGAAGGACGGGCACGATACCTCCTGGAAGAAGACAACGTCGGGGCAGTACATGCGAGTCAGGTTCTCCAGTGCCGCGAGTTTGTGCCCGGCTGACACCGCACAAATATTCATGGAGAGTAGCTTCATTTTGATGGTGTCTTGGTCTTGGCCGCGGGGGTCGTTGCTTTCTTCATCATGCTCTTGGCCGCTGCGTCAGTGGCCTTCTGATTCTCTACCGTGCTCTTGGGCCTCTTGACGGCGTCCATCTTGGCGTCCACCACGACTGGCGTTTGTCTGCTTCGCAGTGTCCTACCTGTGGTCCTCTCTTCGCCTCCGCCGCTCCCTCCCGCGCCCATGTCACAGTCCTTGCATAGGACCTCCACTATCCGGACTGGCTTCATTGCGTCCCTCGCCAAGAGTTTGTCCCAGACTGCCTGTTTCTGCCGTTGGCACGACTCTGCCGCGTGGGGAAGGTTCTCGTCAGGGTAGCCTGGAGCTGGACTACGCATCAGCACAACGCGCCGCAGCGCCACCAGCCCGCACTGGCGCAGCCCCTCGGCCAGGTCCTTGAAGTGCAACAGACCGTCTCCCTCGGACGCGCACAGGATCCGCAGCTCCTGCAGTGTGGCGGCGTGGGCCTTGGCCAGGGACAGGGCGGTGGAGGCCGGCCGGAGGCTGACACCGAGCCACTGCAGGCCGCAGTGACCCGCGGGCAGAGGCGGGAAGGCCACGTCGAGAGCACCGTGGGGGTACCATTTCACGACGAATTTACGCAAACTGGGCATCCGCTGCACCGACTGCAGGTGTTCCGCTTCAGCGTTCACCACCTGCAGTTCCTCGAGTTGCAGCGGCAGGCCTGGGGCGTTCTTGATACTCTCCGACACGTGGACGTACAAGTAGCGCAGTGCGGGCATGTCCCGGATCACCTCGAGGTGCTCACGGACGGCACTGTCGACCCACAGCCACTCGACGTGCGGGGCGACGCGCTGCAGCAGCACCTTGCACCAGTTGGGCCGCTGCTGGCACCAAACACCGTCCAGCTTCCTCACCTGAAACACACGAGCGCACTCCGCGTTACTACACTGAGATTTCAAACGCTAGGAGTATAGCACGTATGGTGCAATATACTAAGATATCGCACATACGTGCAATGCCTCAGGCATATTGCACGTGCAATGCGTCCCGAAGATGCCGTATGCTCATGCATGGGGATGGGGAGGCATTGCACTTCATGTGCAATGCTTTTGCATTCACTCATTGACGCTATACTCATAGCGTTTGGGCCCCATTGTCCCCCCCCCCCCTCCGTCGCCCGGATAGGGCAGTTGTAGAAATTCCTTACATTATGCCCTGTTCTCAGTGTGCCTACCACACGCTGCTGACAGGCTAAATGATATTCAACAAAATTTGTACGATACGTCACAAGTTTATTGAGCACAACTTATCGCACAAAATTGTGCGTGATTTTCCACAAAACTAATGAAAAAGGGGCAGTTTTTCACACGAAAACCGTACGAAAAGTTCAGACAAAAATCTGATACGTCTCGTACAAAAGTGCACCCAAAAAAGTCTACGAAGTGTTTGCTTCATAACTACAAAGAAAATGAAGGCATTGCAGCAAAATCCGTCGTAGCATTTCTTCCTAATATGAAGCATTTTGTCGGAGAAATGAAGGCATTGGAGATTTGCTACGCACTATGAAGGATTTTGCTTCATACATCACTGAGAATAAAAGAGTCATGATCATGACTAACATTTTGGGTGTTTGGGTGAGGCTCACCCAAATTTGGGTCATAAAGGCAGCTGATCCAAATATGGGTGATACAGTGTACCTCACCCTAAATTGGGTATTGATCAAGACTTTTTCATTCTCAGTGATCATGCAACGAGGGGTTAATTACTAGTGTACCCATGTGTACAAATTTGCCCGTACTCAGTGTACTCACAAGTTTAAAAAAGATGAAATTCTCTAGTTTTTCGACTGATTTAACGTTGACTGCCGTTAAAAACGCTAAATAAAGCCTTAAAACGTTTAAAATTGTGAAATTTATGAGTAAAGCAAGGTGTACTCACCCGTACTCATGTGTACACCAGAACGCCGAGTGATTCACCCCTCGTCATACAATGCCTTTAGTTTCTTCGCTTTACGAAGCGGCTGCTCGCAGAGTCTTTACTGTGTGTACGTTGCGTATAGAGCAGACCTCACACCATGTCTCTGAGAAGCTGCAAGAATAAGGAATGCGGCAGTGTAAAAACCCAAGCTACGGAACCCTCACCTTGTCAAGGCCTGGCTTCTCCAGGGTTTCGTCCAGCTCCTTACTGTGCTTCTTCTGCTTGCTGAGTTCTCCCACATCCATACATTCTTCGGGACGGAAGACCTGGAAGCAGTACGCCAATCACATTTACGGAAGAAGACACCGAAAACGCCTGAAAAATGTTCATGCGATTGCTTTGAAATATTTGTTGCAAGCGTCTCGTTCGAGGGGTGACCCACTGTAAAATTTTGTGTACAATGATTGTGTGAATGTGCAAGAATGTGCAGGATTTCTGGCGTTTTTGCCACACATGTTGCCTACTTACTGGCGTTTTTGCCTCCTAAATGTGGAATGTGGTCAAATTTTGTACAACGAATGTGGGAAGCTGTTCCCCCCTCGGTCTCGTTCATTTTCGACATTTTCGGGCCAAGAGCTTTGCAGGCCCGGAGGTCACGAGCGCGGAGGCTGACAGTCGAACCACCCTTCGGGTATGAATTAAGGCATTTGAAAGACACTTTAACATATAAATTGAGAATTAAAAAATCGCCCACCAAAATTTCAGGCAAAATCTTGAAATTCCCATCTTGAGTGTGCTCCTTTGAATTCCTCATCCCATATGCTCTCAGACTGTAGGCAAGGTTCCAGCTGCACGAGCCTACCTTGGTGAGGGTCCTGTCCTGGTGCAACTGCAGCACCAGTGGGCCAAGAAGACTGCGTCTGGAGCCTGGAGCCGCTACCACCAGTCCGGCGTTCCACGTAGAACAGGTTGAGTCCACCTGCAGCTGACACTTGGCCTGGAGGAGAGTGGTGGCGTCCTGCAGCAGCTGTTCCAGGCCCTCCTCCAGTGTAGGCTCCTCCAGGTCCCGACCCTCGTCCGCCGCCGCCCACAGCTCGATCTTGGCCTCCTCGACGTGCCGCAGCCTGCCGCGCCACTGCTCCAGCTGGGCCTCCAGCACGCCCTTGGCGTCCAGCAGGGCCTTCACCACCTCGCGCGCCGACTTCGCCACCTTGTCCAGACGCTGCAACTTCGGGGCCACTTCCTCCAAACGCAGTTGGCGGAGGGAGCACACGGAGTGGCCCGAGTCCTCGCAGTCCTCCGCGGCATCCTCGCCGCAGTCCCGGCACCACAACCTGCGCGACGCACAATCCACAAGGACATGAAAAACTCTGACAGCGGTTCCTGGCTGAGTGGAAACTACACTCAAAAAGCCTTGAGAACAATATCCTTTACAAAGAAGAATTTTCTCTGTAAATAAGCTGCAAAGGAAACAATGTCTAAACTGCTATGCGCAATACAAAGTTCTTTGCAAGTTCTACAAAGAAAACTTCTTGTGGAAGGCGAACCTTACAAACTTATGCTATAGATAAAATTAATTTCAGAGATGTATAAATTCCTTTGCCTCCACAAATAAGTTAAATCGTACGTAGCAACTTCTTTTGAGATTAAAATTATCCATGTACTTGAAAACAAAATGAATGGGATGCCATTTTTCCAAAAATACATTGCCGACTATCTGAATTTAAGTCCTTCCATAGCGTATCAAACTTTTATAAAATTAGGGGGCAGAAAAATCTGTTTTTCACAAGTTGATAAATTTTGTTTTTTAAAGTCTACCCAGAACTGAATACGCAGTCTCACTAAGAGAATCCTTCGCAAACTTGCAGAGAACAGTTTTAATAAAGATGGCCCTGTTTCCTAGGCAGTGTTCAGAGACATTTCCTAGCATTGCAATCACATTCTTTTAAGGCTTTTGAAAGCGTAAGCCTGTAGCATTGTCTGCGCGGCTCTCACTCCACTCACTTGGGACTTGAAGTGCTGCCACTCATGTTGGCAGTTTCGGGACCCGAGAGCTCCTCCTTGACCGTCAGGACCTCCCACTCCATCGACAGTCTGCAAATATCAAACACATCTTTTGTATAAACGCATACACTTGAAGTACCTCATTTTGGTTTCTAAGTTATAGAATTTTACGTTAACTTTAAGTCGCTTTACCCAAATTCTCCTCACGATTAAGGAAAGGGACCTAGTCTTCAGATTAAGGCATTCAAATCTATTTTTACATAGGGAAAAAAAAGCATTGCCCTGAAATATACCTCCCTTAGGTTTCCTGAAGGGAATCAAAATGAGGTAACAAAGCGTTCGCACAAAATGTGTAGGTAGAATGTTGTACATGCAACTTGCACGATTATATGCATACGTAGAATTGATATATGAAGCACCAGGAGAAGGGGATTACTCAATTTCCATCATTTTTCAGGATAAACAAAATACTGTTTGCAGGATTAACTTAACCCAATCAGATGAATGATGTAATTGAATTTTTGTAAAGAAAGCCTAAGAAATAATTGTGAAAATTTTCAAAAGTGTAGAATCTCTCTATGGACGGTTTCTGTGATTTGAATCTTTACGTTGGAATGGACAACGGAACCATGTTTACTTAGTTCTCCCAAACAATGCGGAATTTGGAGGCAATTCAAGTGGAGCTGAGTTCTGCATAGAGTTCATATTTCTGTGGCACATTTTTGCAGATACATCTTTTTTCCAACTAGTAATGAGGAGTCAAGTTGAGTTGATTCTTTTAACACTAGATTCATAAAGACACAAGTTGAGTTGCATCCTTTTGCCATTTAGTGCAATGGAGTTATGTGAACTTCGGTTGAGTTACCTCCATTTTCCAATAAAATATAGACCGTAAAAGAGATAAAGTTGAGTTACATCCATTTTCATGTAGATTTTCTCCCAAACTGTTAGAAATTGGGTCAAACAATTTGGTGTGATGATGCAAACCATCATGAGGGACAATAATAAGACAAAAACTCAATTTGGAGATAAGTCGAATTATTCCCTTCTTCCGCTTCCTGGATAAATTTGCTTAATACCACGCGTGAAAACGCATAGATTTGTGTTAATTTACGCACAGTTTTACACACGATGATACACAGGTTTGAAATTGTGCATCAACGTACAAAATTGTACATGAACATTTAGTGTGTTCGCAACCGTACCCGTCAGTAGGAGATCCTTCTCGCCGCTGAGAAGGACTGCTTTCCTGTCTGGACCTCTTGCTGGCGTCACTGGCAGGGCTCCTCTGCGCTCCCTTCTTGGGAGGCATTCTGCTGCAAGATGCGAAGTCTCAAAAAGGGTTCTACACTCCGGCGCTGTCACGGGCCGGAAGCAAGACGTGCCAACGGAAGTAACAATCAACCCCCTGGTCTGCACTGAAAAATAATGAGAGAGCTTTAAAAATAAATGCTGATTAGAAATGGCCTACGAGGTTTGATGCACCGAACGGCGTAATTTTGAACCCAATAGACTTGTCATATTTCAGCCATGATATAGTGAATTCGAATCCGACGCAAGCGTAGGACAAAGCAGAATTTCTGCAGCACGTAGATATAGATCATGCATAGGGTTTTCAATTCACGATGCAAAGAAAATTCTTCGTATTAAGTGAACTTTCTTCCTAACACTGAGAATAAGGTACGGTTTTCGCCATTAATCGGTTAACGGGATTAGCCGTTCCCTGAAAGTACGGAGTTTACCGTAGTTTCAACACTGCATGGTAAAGATGTACACGGTAAGAACGGAACCTGGTTTTCCCAGGAGGCCAATGGTGAAGGTATAGGTGATTTCCAGGGAGTTCCTGGGAAAACCAGGTTCCGTTTTTATCGTGTAGCCATGGATTCAATGTCAAGGGGTTTAAGTGAGTTTTTTTAAATTGTCGAGATTGACTGATGTGAAGAAATGGGTTAGGTACTGCACTGTAGAAAGTGCGGTGAACACCGTACTTCTAAGTACGGCAAATCCCGTTAGTAAAAACCGTACATTTTCCTCGCAGTGAACTTGTGACATTTAAGGCATATCGCTGCGCAACTTTTTAGTATGCGTGTGTGTGTGAGTACGCGCGCGCATGCATGTGTGAGTCGGGCACTGTGGCTGTGGCCAAAAGCAACAGAAAATTCTGTCAATAGCTTGTGGTAATTCTCCGTTGAGTCCGTACAGCGAACAGTGCAGGACGATGGGCTTACCTCACCGCCTACACCTTCAGCCGCGCTCCGCACTTCCGGTGTAGGAGTCCGGAAGCGACCGTGGCAGTGTAAAGGTGGAGGGGTGCGGTAATGAGTACTCCGAAGCATGCTTTTGGAGTGTTACGCAGTTACGCTGGCCCGGTCCCGCCCCTCCCACGGGTTCACGAACTTACTTTGCAGAAAGGTTGGCGATATCGCTGTTCGGTACCCACGTGTTTTGTTTACGAAATCAAGCTTTCTCCTCGCATAGAAACAACGTACCTCTGTAGCTATGGTTGAGTTGGCAGCAATTTTGCGTAATCCTTACGGTTGATGTACACTGTTGCGAACACCACGTCAAAAAAACAGTGAAAACCTGTTGATCCCGCGCAGTGCCTGCTCTGAGTCAGTGAACCCGTGTGAGGGGCGGGGCCGGGCCAGCGTGACTGCATAACACTGCAAAGGCGTGCTTCAGGGAGCTCGTTACCCCACCCCTCCACCCTGTCACCACGGAGCAGCCACCATTCTGCTCCGTGCTGTCACCGCCGCGGTCGCTTCCGGACTCCTACACCGGATGTACGGAGCGCGGCTGAAGGTGTAGGCGGTGAGGTAAGCCTAGTCCTGCACTGTTCGCTGCACGGACTTTGTCCTACGCTTGCGTCGGACTCGGATTCACTGTAACGAGCTGTAACATGGCTGAAATATGAAGGCCGTTTGCTGCATCAAACCTCGTAGGCCATTTTTAATCTGCATTTATTTTTAATGCTCTCTCATTATTTTTCAGTGCAGACCAGGGGTTGATTGTTACTTCCGTTGGCACGTCTTGCTTCCGGCCCGTGACAGCGCCTGAGTTTAGATTCCTATTTGAGACTTCGCATCTTGCAGCAGAATGCCTCCCAAGAAGAGAGCACAGTCGAGCCCTGCCGGAGACGCCAGCAAGAGGTCTAAGCAGGGAAGCAGTCCGTCTCAGCGGCGAGAAGGATCTCCTACTGACAGGTACGGTTGCGAACACACTAAATGTCACGGGACTTTTTTTGTCCCATGAATGATGCAATTGTAGGCACATCCGGTGGTGATCCAAATTGAGTTTTTATCTTATTATTGCCCCTCATGATGGTTTGCACCATCAGACCAAATTGTTTGACCCAATTCCTAACGGTTTAGGAGAAAATCCTCATAAAAATCGATAGAACCTAACTTGACCCCCTTTACGGTCTAAATTTTATTGGAAATTGAAGGTAACTCAACGGAAGTCCACATAACTCCATTCCATAGCACTCAATGGCAAAAGGAGACAACTCAACTTGTGTCTCTATGAATCTAGTGTAAAAAGAATCAACTCAACTTGATTACCCATCACTAGTTTGAAAAAACAGGTAACTCCAAAAATGTACAACAGAAATACAGACACTATGCAGACCTCAGCTCCACTTGATTTGTCCTCAGATTCCGCCTTGTTTGGGAAAACTACATAAACATGGTTCCAACGTAAAGATTTAAATCACAGAAACCGTCTACAGGGGGATGCTACACTTTTGAAAATTTTCAGTTATTTCTTAGGCTTTCTTGACAAAAATGCAGTTACATCATTCATCTGATTGGATTAAGTTTACCCTGCTAACAGTGTTTTGTTTCTCCTGAAAAATGATGAAAATCGAGTTATCCCTTTCTTCTGCTTCATGGATCAGTTCTACTTTTGCATTTAATTGTGGAAGTTGCACATTCAAAATTCCACCTAATCATTTAGCGAGAACGCTTTGTTCCCTCATGTGGGTGTGGGTCCCTTTCATGAAAACTAAGGGAGGTATATTTAAGGGGAACGCTATCTTTTCCCCATTTAAAAATAGATTTGAATGCCTGAATCTGAAAACTAGGTACCTTTTCCATTGTCGTGAGGAGAATTTGGGTGAAGCGACTAAAAGTTAACGTAAACATCCATAACTCAGAAACTAGAATGAGGTGTGGCCCCACTTCAAGTGTATGCGTTTATACAAAAGATGTGTTTGATATTTGCAGCCTGTCGATGGAGTCGGAGGTCGTGACAGTCAAGGAGGAGCTCTCGGGTCCCGAAACTGCCAACACGAATGGCAGCACTTCAAGTCTCAAGTGAGTGGAGTGAGTGCCGTGCAGACAATGCCACAGGCTTACTCTTTCAAAAGCCTTTAAAGAATGTGATTGCAATGCAAAGAAAATTCTCTGTATCCTGCCTAGGAAACAGGGCCATTGTAGTCAAAACATGTTTTCTACAAGTTTGCGAAGAAAAACAGATTTCTCCACCCCCTATTTTTATAATAGATTGATAATATGCAATAGAAGGACTTAAATTCAGATAGTCAGCAATGTATTTTTGGATAAATGGCATCCCATTCATTTAGTTGTCAAGTGTACGGATAACATTTTAATCACAAAATTAGTTTTTATGTACAATGAAACTCATTTGTGGATGCAAAGGAATTAATGCGTCACTGCATTTAATTTTATCTGTAGCATAAGTTTGTAACATGCGCTTACATTTGTTCGCCTTTTACAAAAAGTTTCCTTTGTAGAACTTGCAAAGAAGTTTCTATTACAAAGAATATTTCATCACAGTTTAGACAACTTGTTTCCTCCTTTGCAGCTTTGCAGAGAAAGTTCTTCTTTGCGAAGGATATTGTCATAATGTTCTCATGGTTTTTTGAGTGTAGTTTCCACTCAGCTAGGAACCGCAGTCACAGTTATTTTACGGCCATGTGATGTGGATTGTGTGTTGCGCAGGTTGTGGTGCCGAGACTGCAGCGAGGATGCCTTGGAGGACTGCGTGGACTCGGCCCACTCCGTGTGCTCCCTCCGCCAGCTTCGCACAGAACAGGCCGCCCCCAAACTGCAGCGTCTGGACAAGGTGGCGACGTCGGCGCGCGAGGTGGTGAAGGCCCTGCTGGACGCCAAGGGCGTGCTGGAGGCCCAGCTGGAGCAGTGGCGCGGCAGGCTGCGGCACGTCGAGGAGGCCAAGAAGGAGCTGTGGGAGGCGGCCATGGATTGCCGGGACCTGGAGGAGCCCACACTGGAAGAGGGCCTGGAACAGCTGCTGCAGGACGCCACCACCCTCCTCCAGGCCAAGTGCCAGCTGCAGCTGCAGGTGGACTTGCCCTGCTCCACCTGGAAGGGCCAACTGCAGGTGGCGGCTCCAGGCTCCAGACGCAGTTTGCTTTGCCCACTGGTGCTGCAGATGCATCAGGACTGGAACCTCACCAAGGTAGGTTCGCGCACCTTGAACCTTGCCTACAGGTTGAGAGCCTATGGAATGAGACATTCAAAGGAGCACACATGCCAGATGGAAATTTCAAGATTTTGCCTGAAATTTTGGTTGGCGATGAAATCCTTAGGATATTTCTAAGTGTTGTTAATTGTTTGATATTGTATAAGAATATGTGTGTCTTAAGTCTCAATTTATATGTCAACACTGAAAACGTAATGGTCGGACACATAGCCAAGTTATGGCGTGACAAAAAGTCATGCCAAAAATTGGCGTGACACGAAATTCACGCCGATGAACGGCGTGACATGTGAGTCACGCCGTCATTTGGCGTGAATGACAACGCGTTTTCTGAGACAAGTCACGCCAAAAAGCGGCATGACAAGAAATTCACACCAAACATTGGCGTGAATATTTGAGTCACGCCGATTTTTGGCGTGACTTTTGTGTCATGCCGTTTATTGGCGTGACACTTCATTCACGCCCCTGCAGCGGTACGAAGTCACGCCGATAGATTTTCAGTGAAAGTGTCTTTCAAATGCCTGAATTCATACCCGAAGGGTGATTCGACTGTCAGCCGCCTTGCTCGTGACCTCCGAGCCTACAATGCTCTTTGTCCGAAAATGTCGAAAATGATAACGAGACGCTTGCAACAATTATTTCAAAGCAATCGCATGAACATTTTTCAGGCGTTTTCGGTGTCTTCTTCCGTAAATGTGATTGGCGTACTGCTTCCAGGTCTTCCGTCCCGAAGAATGTATGGATGTGGGAGAACTCAGCAAGCAGAAGAAGCACAGTAAGGAGCTGGACGAAACCCTGGAGAAGCCAGGCCTTGACAAGGTGAGGGTTCCGTATCTTGGGTTTTTACACTGCCGCGTTCCTTATTCTTGCAGCTTCTCAGAGACATGGTGTGAGGTCTGCTCTATACGCAACGTACACACAGTAAAAGCTCTGCGAACAGCCGCTTCGTAAAGCGAAGAAACTAAAGGCATTGCATAATTTTTGAGAGGGAAAAAGTCTTGATCAATACCCAATTTCGGGAGAGGTATATTTTATCACCCAAATTCGGGTGAGGACTGTTGCATCAGCTGCTTATATGACTCCATAGTATTATGACCCAAATTTGGGTGGGGCTTCTTCACCCAAATTCGGGTGATGAAGAATTACTCAAAATTTAAGTCATGATCGTGACTTTTTCATTCTCAGTGATCTACGAAGAAATTGCTTCGTATTATGAAGCAAAATCCTTCATAGTGCGAAGCAATTCTACAATGCCTTCATTTATTCTACGACAAAATCTGCGAAGAAATGCTTCAGTTTATGAAGAAATGCTTCGTATTACGACGGATTTTGCTGCAAATGCCTTCATTTTCTTTGCAGTTACGAAGCAAATGCTTCGTAGACTTTTAAGGGTGCAATTTTGTACGAGACGTATCAGGTTTTTGTCCGAACTTTTCGTACGGATTACGTGTGAAAAATTGCTCATTTTTCATTAAGGTCGCTCACAGTTTTGTGCAATAAGTTCATCGCGATCCTACTCAAAAAATTGTACAAAGTTTGTACGAGAGGGTCATTCCCCGCCGAATCGACGATTCGGGCCAAACCACTTTTAATCGATGCATTGGGACCCCAAAGGAACCCCTCTAAGAGGATTTTTTTTTAAATCATTTTTCCCAGAGTTATGGCCAATACCATTTTGGGAAATTTAGTGAAATTTAGTGAAAACAGTACTTTTCATCTTATCCTGTGAAAGTGCGATGTGAGACCCCTTAGGCTTTTATTTCCATTTCAACTAGCTTAGAGGGGTCCTAAAAACCTTCTCCTCTGACTGAAGGTGAAAAATTAAAAAATTTCTATTTTTTACTAAGGAAAATTTATGAAAAAAAGTGAAAAATGAGCATAACTTTTTTACGTGGTTTGAGAATTTTGACGATACTTTATCCTAAGATTCACTTTAGGTGACCGCTTAAAACTACAGAATATTTCATCTGGCAATACGTATCTTCACTGAATCGGGTTGATAAAACTTAATTTTGAGCTAAAATTTTACTCGAAACTTTTGACGACAAAGCGCATTGACTCCAAAATCAATTTTCAAAGGCCAAAAAGTTACTATTGATACATCTTGAAGTCAGGGCAGATTAAATACCTCAAGAATCCATCCCATTGATGCTCAAAATGTTGATCGCTCCTTATTTTAGGTATTTTGCTCTCCATTTAAGCCTAAACCCATAAAGTACATGGTGGTCGGTGGTACTGGTGGTAATGGTGGTCCATTGATTCAAACAGTTGATTCTACAGTGTCTGCATTGTTTGTAAGTGGTGTGTACTGGTAAAACTAAGGCATAGTATTATTCCTGTCCTCAAGCGTAAAATCTTACAGTGTACTCCTGTGCTTGACCTCAAGCGTAATAAGAGCTATGTTTGAAGCCAAGCGTAATCAAGCCACATCAGAAATTCTGACCCCCTGCTTCAAGTGTAAAGTCAGTACACTCAATTTCAAGCATAGTGAAAACCCATGCTGCATTTTACAAGCACAGGAGAATGCACACATTCATTATGCAAAATCAGCTCAATTTAATTTAAGATAATATCTTAGCTATTATCTTACCTATCTTAAATCTTATAAAAATTTGAGCTGATTTTGCATAATGAATGTGCGCATTCTCCTGTGCTTGTAGCAGCATGGGTTTTTACTATGCTTGAAATTGAGTGTCCTGGCTTTACGCTTGAAGCAGGGGGTCAGAATTTCTGATGTGGCTTGATTACGCTTGGCTTCAAACATAGCTCTTATTACGCTTGAGGTCAAGCACAGGAGTACACTGTAAGATTTTACGCTTGAGGACAGGAATAATACTATGCCTTAGTTTTACCAGTACACACCACTTACAAACAATGCAGACACTGTAGAATCAACTGTTTGAATCAATGGACCACCATTACCACCAGTACCACCGACCACCATGTACTTTATGGGTTTAGGCTTAAATGGAGAGCAAAATACCTAAAATAAGGAGCGATCAACATTTTGAGCATCAATGGGATGGATTCTTGAGGTATTTAATCTGCCCTGACTTCAAGATGTATCATTAGTAACTTTTTGGCCTTTGAAAATTGATTTTGGAGTCAATGCGCTTTGTCGTCAAAAGTTTCGAGTAAAATTTTAGCTCAAAATTAAGTTTTATCAACCCGATTCAGTGAAGATACGTATTGCCAGATGAAATATTCTGTAGTTTTAAGCGGTCACCTAAAGTGAATCTTAGGATAAAGTATCGTCAAAATTCTCAAACCACGTAAAAAAGTTATGCTCATTTTTCACTTTTTTTCATAAATTTTCCTTAGTAAAAAATAGAAATTTTTTGATTTTTCACCTTCAGTCAGAGGAGAAGGTTTTTAGGACCTCTCTAAGCTAGTTGAAATGGAAATAAAAGCCTAAGGGGTCTCACATCGCACTTTCACAGGATAAGATGAAAAGTACTGTTTTCACTAAATTTCACTAAATTTCCCAAACTGGTATTGGCCATAACTCTGGGAAAAATGATTTAAAAAAAAAAATCCTCTTAGAGGGGTTCCTTTGGGGTCCCAATGCATCGATTAAAAGTGGTTTGGACCGAATCCATCGACCTCAAAAACAGACCATCGTCGATTCGGCGGGGAATGACCCGAGATCATATAGCGTGTCAGCAGCGTGTGATGAAAGTAGTGACGCGGAGTGCGCCTGCCTGTTGCAGGTGAGGAAGCTGGACGGACTGGATTGCGAGGAGCGGCCCAACTGGAGTGCAGAGCTGCTGCAGCGCGTCGCCCCGCGCGTCGAGTGGCTGTGGGTTGGGAACGCCGTCCGTGAGCACCTCGAGGTGATTCAGGACATGCCCGCGCTGCGCCACTTAAGCGTCCACGCGATCGAGAGCATCGAGAATGCCCCAGGCCTGCCGCTGCAACTCGAGGACCTGGAGGTGGTGAACGTCTCAGAGGGACATCTCCAGTCCGTGCAGCGGATGCCCAGGCTGCGTAAACTCGCCTTGGACTGGTACACCCCCGGTGCGCTGGACGTGGTGTTCCCCCCTCTGCCCGCGGGTCACTGTGGCCTGCAGTGGCTCTATGTCAGCCTCCGGCCGGCCTCCACCGTCCTGTCCCTGGCCAAGGCCCACGCCGCCACACTGCAGGAGCTGTGGATCCTGTGCGCGTCCGAGGGAGAAGATCCGTGGCACTTCAAGGACCTGGCCGAGGGGCTGCGCCAGTGCGGGCTGGTGGCGCTGCGGCGCGTAGTGCTGGTGCGTGGACCCGCTCCCAACAAGAACCTCCCCCACGCGGCAGAGTCGTGCCAACGGCAGAAGCAGGCAGTCTGGGACAAACTCTTGGCGAGGGACCCAGTGAAGCCAGTCCGGATAGTGGAGGTCCAATGCGAGGAGTGTGACAAGTGCCCACAGTTTCCGCCGCTGGGAGACTTTACGTGGAGAGACGAGTAACACAGTGCTTCATCTCAATTTTCTCTTTTCCTTTTTATCATGGCATTGTTAGCATCCTCTTTATTGAACCCCCACAGCTAATTGTTTCATGTTTGTCGTGCTTGTTTAGTCATTTATTTCCCACCGCCTGACGTTCTGTTGCCGGGGCTGTGCTGACTTGTCCTTGAACCGATCGTGCACTGCACATCGGTGTTAGTACGGTGTGGATCGATGATTCTCGCATGTAATGTGGTAACCAAGAACAGAACTTGAGAAGGATTACATATGGGATTTTCTTAACTTTATTATTAAAAGTGAATTAATGTCGTTGTTTTGTACGTAATTTTCGGTTTGGTGAGACAGAAAACTAGACTGCTGATTCTGTTTTGTTTGATTCGTGTGTTAGTTCTTTTAAAACACGAAATTGTTTATCATGTCTAGCAAGCTCTTCAATTCCCACAGCATGACGTTCAGTCTGCATTGCTTGTTGAAATGTTATTTTATCGATGACGATAGTAAACACACATCTTTTGTTTCTATCACAATCGTAGTTCTCTTTTATTGTCTTACAATCCATTAAGACATTTTAAAAGTACTTAGCGGTGTGATTTTTTTTTAAATCTCCCTCAAAGTTGATAGCAGAGTCTTATTATTGTCCTTTTCACACGCTTAAAATCTATCGAGGTATTTTGAGCATTCATAGTACAAACTAGTTTACTTTCGTACACGAATATAAAGTTTCGTAAATCATGAAGTATTGTCTTTGTGAGCTTCTGTATGCTCAAAATACTTTGATGTAACAAGCTGCTTTTCTACGTAAGGCCTCAATTAGTTTGTAAGGTTTTCTCAGCGCAGATTTAATCGACGCCGAGCTGTCAGTGCTGTTAACAGTCCTAACTGCTCAGAGGTTTCAGAGGAGGCTAAAACTGCAGATTGGCTCTCTTCAGTCCAAAGCAACGAATCATGATATCACTGAAATATAGCTTCCACGTTATTATGCACGAATTTTAGAAGAAATAGCTTTTCACGTCGCACAATCTGCGCTGACAGTTGGGATTCTCTTGGATCAGCACTGACAGATATATTCTACTAGGAGGCGTCGATTTGATTGTGGGGTTGGTTGTCGTTATGTCAACACACCCAATTTCCTACTGAGAAATGCCTTGCAGTCATAATGCTAAGTCATGACACAAACCGGTCCTAATATAGAGAAATGTTTTTCGTTGGTTTTTCGTAATATGAATGGTCATTAGTTATTGAGAACTCTTTACCATAGGTTACTACCTTCGCTACGCAGTCATACCAGGATTTTTGATCGTATTACGAAGAGAAAGCACAGTAGGATATTGGGAGTGCATGTCAAATGCACAAGTTCAAATGTGTGCTTCCTGCACGGAAATGTGCCTAGAAGCACACATCTACAGGAGTGTGCTTGCACCTTCGCAAATCTACAAAGATATTACGTAAATTTACAGGGAACCTTCGTTGACATAAAAGGAACCTTCGTAACCGAAAGGTCTGGAATTAACGACGGATCACTCGGCAAAAAAAAAATGCCTACGGTTCCTTTGGTTATTCTAGAAGGCCCGTCGTAGATTAACGAAAGCCCGTCGTAAATGTACTCTACACTCTAAAAAAAATATGAAATTTCATATCTAAAGGAGTCTAAAATTTCATAATCACGTTCTAAACCTCAATTTTCATAACCTTCGTATGAAATTTCAGATCGTGTAATGAAACCTAAGATTTGGGTTGTGGATTTTAAGATTAACTGGTTCTAAATTTTTAGAACAGAGTAACTTATAACTCTGGTTCTTAAAATCTAGATTTTCGCTTTGAAAGTTTATATTGCTTGCCGATTTAAGAGCAAGGTTCTGAAATTTTTAACCGTTTAGTCCTGCTCCCTAGTCCTTTATTCATGGTTAAATTAATAAATAGGTGAAGTTTTCATTTTTATGTGTTGACCTTTTTTGTGTTAACCTTTTCCGAACCGCTAAGGTAGGAGTCCTAGGGGCGGTCTACAAACTGAAAAGCGTACATTTTATGCACTAACTGGAGCAAGCACGCTTTTGCTAGCGTATGCCTACTACTTTTTAGTGCATACAGGTATAACATGCATGAGGGGTATAGAGAGCTGTCTGCTTCAGTTCGCGTGTACATGGCATGATGCACTAGTACATGCTTGGCGGGCATGCGCTTGTTGGAGCGTACTTGCAGGCATGCTCCAGTCAATGCATGTTCAAAATTTGTGTGTAGTATTTCCCAAGAGGCTGCAAATCGCGTCCCTTGCAGTGCCTGACCGGCCACCGGCCTCCGGGCCGAGCCGAGCCGCCCCGAGCCGGCCGGGCCGAGCCACCCCGAGCCGAGCCGTAGGGTGCCGAGCCGGCGCTGCTTCCACGGAAAATAACCGCTCGCCGGCCGAAGCTACCTGCGCCCGGCGGTGCTATCCTCATAGCGTTTGGAATCTCAATGATGTGTTTGCGGTTTGGGAACGGGTGCAAAGGAAAAGAAGCAGTAAACTCATTATTTTTTGTCGAAACCCTAGATTTTATTTGGTGTTTCTTCAATCAAGTTGCACTTGCAGAACAATGACCCTGGTGCTTAGCGGACCTTGGGGTAGCTGGCCTCGGTGGCGATACCGCAGTGGTTCTTCTTGTTGCGGGCCATCTTGATGTAACCCTTCTCGCCCCAGGAGGTGCCCCAGGAGTTCTTGACGATCCAGTAGTCTTTGTTGCGGCCTTCGCTGCCGTAACCGACGGCGAGGACACCGTGGTCGAGGTCGGTGCTGGAGCACTCGGGCTCGTAGTAGATGCCGCTGCTGTACATCTGGAAGGACCAGTTGCTGGCGTCGATGGCGACGGACACGGGGCCGACCTTCTTGACGGCGTCCTGGAGGGTGGCCTCAGAGAACTCCTGGATGTCGATGTAGCTGAACACAGTGCCGGCGCTGTTGTCCTTGGAGTAGCTGCAGGAACCGGCAACACCGGTGTAGGGGTAGGAGTCCTCGGAGTCGATACCGCCGTTGTTCTGGATGTATTCGAAGGCGCGGTCCATCATACCACCGTTGCAGCCGTTGTTCTCGGTGGAGCAGTCGACCAGGTTCTGCTCGGAGAGGGAGACGAGCTTGTTGGTCTTCTTGAAGAGAGCACCCTCGAGGGAGCCGGTCTGGAGAGCAAAGGAGGGAGGGATGGCGTTAGCGAGACTTGTTCGTCCGGGGCGAACCGCCGTTCAAAGCGTTCAAATTCCGTTACTTACGGTGGAGAAAGCCCAGCAGGAGCCGCACTGGCCCTGGTCCTTGACCTCGGTGACGTATCCCTTCTTCCTCCAGTCGACGCTCTTGTTCCAGGGCCAGGGGAAGGGCTGGGGGTCGGGGTCGGACACGTTGTGGAGGGCGCGGACGGGCTTGTTCACGGGGGAACGGTAGCCGTTGAGCCTCTCAACAACCTCGTGGGTGAGGAGGTCAGCGTGCTTGTTGATGGCGACGGTGAAGGTGACCTCACCGGCGTCGAAGCGACCGTTGTGCTTGGCGACCTTGATGGCGTTCTCCTTGAAGATCTTCATGCGGTGGGTCTCCTCGACCTCGTTGGCGTAGGTCTTGCCGTGCTCGGCCTTGAACTTCTGCCAGTGGTTGGCGAGCTCATCCTCGGAGGGGATGGACCAGCAAGTGGCCACTGCCACGAAGGCAGCGAGGACGATGAGGAACTTCATGATGCTGAAACGGAGAAGGCAACACTGCGTTAGGCGGGCGGCCGGCCGCACCAATGTACGAATGTACGCGGCAAGGTGCCAGCCGTGCAGACCAGACAGTGCAGGTACTACTCACCTATCCAGGGGAGCTGCATGCTGCTCTGGCAGTGCTTCTGGGCTCCTTTATACACTGTCGTAATCTTTCATATGTGTCGCTGAAGTGCTCCTTGACAAGTGAGTTTTGAGAAATCTTTCATGCGTCATCCTGATTGAACAGTCGCGTGTTGGCCCCTAATCTGAAGGGCCATTTTAAGGGTGTGACTATTCAAAAAAAAATTCACACATTATTATCTCCATAGATGGCCTCACACCTCGTCACACCTCCTTATGACCATTAACCTCACATTTATGGTATAGAGCGATATCTTCCCTCGTATGCTGACAAAACTTTGTCACTTTAATACCAAATGGCTATACATGTTTCATTTTCAATACGATTTACTTAACATACCTTTTAAGTAAATATTATGAAATTGCATTCATTTATAACACCCATACTCCATCTGTAGGTGAATTTTTATTTTTGTTTTTGTAAAGAACGGGTAAAAAAAAACTCAATAGAGCTAAAAATTTAGCATTAGTGCCAATTCATAAAGCTGTGTGAGCCCAGCAATTTTTTTAGCTGAGACAATTGGCTGGGGAACACTAGCATACCGCTCGCTGAGTGCGAAATCACGGGGCGGAGGTCCAGACTGGGTCCAGATTTCTCGAAGAATGGTATAAAGCGATATCTTTCCTCATATGCTGACCACGCATCCACGCATAATCTACATGATCCAAGCATAATCCACGTGATCCACGCATAATACACATGATCTACACGTAATCCACGTGATCTTCGCATAATCCACACGTGTCCATTCATCATCAGAGCGCTATGGCCTCAGCAGACCTTTAACGTTCCAGTAAGCAACGAGCACAACACATGCAACTACACTCTAAATGTAGGGTGCCCAGAAACTGGGCGCCTTTGTCGCCCGCTCCACTTTTTAGGGTGCCAAATGTCGCCCAGTTTCTGGGCACCTTTGTCGCCTAGTCTTGGGGTGGACAGACCATTAAGGAACCTGCCTTCATCCATGGCTCAGCAGCGACTAAGGTGCCATAGGTGCCCAGAATCTGGGCACCTTAGTCGCCCAGGAACTAGACACCTGCTTTTTTGGCGATTTTCGGCCATTTTTTCACCCACACCTCACCTTAAGGGGAGGTTCTGGTGAAAATGCTATCTTCTCCTTGGTCCCACTGTGAAAACTAGTTAAAAATTTGATGTCTTACCAAGTCATTATTAAAGTTATCCATTGGGGAGGCACATTCTATGCCCTGAACCCAGTCGCAGAGCCTTTTTCTCCAATTTGGGCTATAACTTTAAAAATCTTGCGCATACTATTTTGTTGGAAAAGGTTGGCCTTGACATTTTTCACTTCTTCGATTCATTTTGAAAAGATGCCGGCATGCACAACTCAAAATGTAAATTACATTTTTATTCACAAGCTCTCTAACCAAGCATTAAACCATAATTGATCAAAAATGTACAAAGTAGACAAATTTAAGGAATTTTTCAGCTTAAAGAGCTTACAATTAATAATATAGTGGTAATTTTGAACTATGCATGCCGGAATATTTTGAAAATGAATCGAAGAAGTGAAAAATGTCAAGGTCAACCTTTTATGACAATATAGTGAGAAGCTCCAGACAAAAAAAAACCACTTGGTCGGCGACATCCTAGGAGCGGGCGCTTGTGGTGTTTTATCGGTTCCTTGTATGTATACGAACTGCCGAAAAGACACTTGGACGAAATCCGACACCCCCTGTGGCTTTGGTACGGGTCTAAACACCCCAAAAACAGCTGTTTTCAAGGGTTTGGGACTAGATGGGTTCTCGCAAACCGAGATCCAAAAAAGTACCCAAATGGGTCTCAGATACTCAAAAAAATGCGCTCTTTCGAATGCCGCACGGAAAAAAAATATTTCGCTATTTTAGCGAACATCTGTTTGCTGAAGGAAAATTCGCTGGAATAACGAGCAAATTCGCTATTTCAGGGCATTTAGGACTCTGATGTAGCGAACTCTTGTTCGCTGTTCTACCGATAAGTTTTTCCTTACTAACGCAACGAACATGTTTGCTAGATATGCTAAAAGTGTTCGCCAACATTGGATTCATGCGTGTTTTGTACCTTGTGGGGCTTTCTAAGCCAAGAGGGAGGACTCTAGCCTATTCCCACAGTATGTCTTGGTGGTCTGGGGGTACAGCACGAATCTCAGAACCTGTAAGTTGAAGGTTCGATTCCAGCTCGGAGTGGGCGAGAGAAGATAATTGTATCCTGGTTGAGGGTAGAAGACCGCTCTAAATCGTCTTCCTACCATCTTTTTGTGACAAGACTACGAAATCATGGTCATTATATCAGCGAAAATTGTTACCTATCCCAGCAAACAAAATGTAGGTGAAAAATTTTCGCTGTAATAGCAAACAAATTCTTTGCGCCATTAGCAGGTGACAAAAATTCGCTGAAATAGCAAAAAATTCGCTAGATTAGCGAAATCTTTTTTTTCCGTGCGTGTCGAACGAGGCTCTACGACGTCGGGTTTGGATGCTACGGGCTCTCAAATTTGCTCAATTTCACTATTTTTACTGAAGATTTGAGCATATCAGGGCCGTTTGAAGTAGACCATCGGCGATTTCGCTCCTCTTTGTCTTAAATGGTGCCTACCCATAGGTAAACACCCCCACAAAATTTCAGCCATGTCAGGCAATTATTAGAGAAACTGTGAACAATTTGTTTTGGGTCATTTTACCACTGGGCTTAGGTGGTTTTAGGTCCAGAAAAAAATAATTTTTTTAGCTATCTACTTTTGATCAGCACCTCTGGATTTCGTCCAAGTGTCTTTTCGGCAGTTCGTATACATACAAGGAACCGATAAAACACCACAAGCGCCCGCTCCTAGGATGTCACCGACCAAGTGGTTTTTTTTTGTCTGGAGCTTCTCAGAAGCAGTCTTCCGAGTCAGCGTGCAGGTGCGACGACGCGACGTAGAGCTCAGCACGTTTCGGTGCGTGTCGTAACCAGAGCGGAAACGCCTACTTAAGCTTGGCGGAGCCGGCAAGGCGGCAGGTCCGTCATGGCTCCCGTGGTTAGACCAGCTCTTATTTTGCGAAAGTGAGAATTCCGCTGGGTTCCCCGACTCAAAATGACCGAAATGGTTAGAAAACTCTTAATTTGAAAGCCCAAGGTCGTCAGACTTACCAAAGCCGTGCCAAGACCCTATATAAAGGCAAAAAGCCATTTTTTTTCGGACTTTTACCAAACTAAGTTTGACTCTAGGGTAAACAGGCCATAATACGACCCGTTGGGCGAAAATTTCATCCGTTTTGCGATATCTTGACTCCTTCATGCCCAAACGGCCTCCCCAACCGCGAGCATAAACAAGACGCCGCGCGGGCGGTTGGGGAGGCCGCTTGGGCATGAAGGAGTCGAGATATCGCAAAACGGACGAAATTTTTGCCCGAAGGGTCGTATTATGGCCTGTTTACCCTAGAGTCAAACTTAGTTTGGTGAAAATCCGAAAAAAAAAATTTGGCGTTTTGCCTTTATATAGGGTCTTGGGGCACGGCTTTGGTAAGTCTGACGACCTTGGGCTTTCAAATGAAGAGTTTTCTCACCATTTCGGTCATTTTGAGTCGGGGAACCCAGCGGAATTCTCACTTTCGCAAAATAAGAGCTGGTCTATCCCGTGGTGGTCCTGCTGACCCTGCTCGTGGCCGCGGCCTGCGGGCTGCCGCGCGCCGCCAACGACGACGACAAGTACAAGCTGCCCGAGGGGTTCCTCCTCGGGGCGGGCACCAGCGCCTACCAGACGGAGGGCGCCTGGGACGAAGACGGTGCGTTTCCAGCAACTCTACAAACTCAAGTGTCGACATTGTACACTCCACCTGGAGTCGACCTAGCATGTACACTCCACCTAACCTGGCATGTACACTCCACCTTGCGTCCACCTAGCATGTAAACTGTTGCTGAAGTCCCCTTGCACGTAAAGCAGAGCAACAGTGTGCTTGCCGGTAAACGCCACCACGCGTGTACTTGGAAAGCATGCTCCAGCGTGGAGTGTACATGCCAGGTTGACTCCAGGTGGAGTGTACATACCAGGTTGACTCCAGGTGGAGTGTACATGCTAGGTTGACTCCAGGTGTAGTGTACTATGTCGACACTTGAGTTTGTAGAGAAGTTGGCTCGAGGGGTGAATCACAGGTGTACTTAAGTGCAAACATTACACACTCTTAAAACCTTACGAAGTATTTTGAGCATACATATAACAAACTAAAATACTTTGTTATACGAAGAAATAGTTCGTAAATTACGAAGTATTTTCTTTGTAAGCTTACGTATGCTCAAAATACTTTGTTATACAAACTACTTTTCTTTGTAAGGCCCAAAATAGTTTGTAAGGTTTTCTCAGTGCACTCAGCATACTCAAAAATTTTGGAAGAGCGAAAATAATCAAATTTATACAGGGTTCGGTACTGTTTTTCGTTTGATACGCAAAAAGGCGTAAAAACGTTAAGAAAATGACCAACTTTTGAGTATTTTAAGGTGTATTCACCTGTATACTCATGGATACACCAAAACGCCAAGTGATTCCCCTCGAGTTTGTGCACACACTCTTAAAACCTTACGAAGTATTCTGAGCATACGTATAACAAACTAAAATACTTTGTTATACGAAGAAATAGTTCGTAAATTACAAAGTATTTTCTTTGTAAGCTTACGTATGCTCAAAATACTTTGTTATACAAACTACTTTTCTTTGTAAGGCCCAAAATAGTTTGTAAGGTTTTCTCAGTGCAGCTATAGAAATAATACAACGGAAGTACACAAATTCCTGGAAATTTTTTTATCAGGAATTTATTGTACTTTCGAAGTAAAACAATTGTTGTACAAAATACATTGGTACCGGCATGACGAGTGCTGTGCAGTGCAGTACAGGCCTCGTTAAGATTTGTACTGTTCTCGTTGCACTTGATGCAATCATGAGACTAGGGGTAATGGACTCGCAACGGAGCTGGCCGGAATCTCTGCTTTGCTAATTGTAGTTCACTATTTCTCTGACTAAATATGCGATTTTTGAGATGGCTCGGGCATTTTTGGAAAGAAGACATCTTAAAGTATGCCCTAAATTCAAAAAAGTTTCAATTTTCCCACCAGGGCTCGAACAGGAACAGCTTAACCGTTGCGCTACTCAAATGCGCAGGGCGACGGCCATGGTGCCAGGGGCGACGCAGGGGGGGCGCCTCTTCAACTTGCGCTAGAAGCTTCCGGATGCCGCAAAAGTGATGGGACAAGTGGTGCACCTTGATATATGTAGAAGACAAACTATGTCCCATCACTTTTGCGGCATCGGGAAGCTTTTATCGCAAGTTGAAGAGGCGCCCCCCCTGCGTCGCCCCTGGCACCATGCCCGTCGCCCTGCGCATTTGAGTAGCGCAACGGTTAAGCTGTTCCTGTTCGAGCCCTGGTGGGAAAATTGAAACTTTTTTGAATTTAGGGCATACTTTAAGATGTCTTTTTTCCGAAAATGCCCGAGCCATCTCAAGAATCGCATATTTAGTCGGAGAAATAGTGAACTACAATTAGCAAAGCAGAGATTCCGGCCAGCTCCGTTGCGAGTCCATTACCCCTAGTCTCATGATGCAATCGCTGTTGTACTTTTATTGTACAGTTTTTGTTGGACTTTTTCTTGCAGTGTCGCACAGCCATCAACACTGTAGGTCTAAAGGGGATACTACAGTATCTCGTTCGCCAGCAAAGGGCCATACACAAATTCGTTGTCTTCAAGGGGGCTATACTTTGAGGAATCGCCAAACCTTTGGCAATGCACAATGTTGACTTCTCCAAAGTTTCTTGCTAACTTTTGGCGATACTCCAAAGAAGGCCCGTTGCTTCGTTGATAATTTTGTTGTAGCCTCTTCAAAGGCAAAATTTTCTGTATGGCCCTCTTTGTTGTCGATACATGATTGTATTGTCAAAAATGTACTCAACGTATCGCCTTTCGGTTTAGAGTGACATAAAGCCCCAGTTTATGTTATTCCTTTATTAACGAAGCAAATGAATCGCCATTTTGGACATTTTTGTAACTGCGATAAATTTAACCGTTTTGTAATTTTATTTTTTAGGAAAGGGAGTGAATGTGTTAGATCATTATTATCGCTCCCACAACACTGCCAAGAACCTAACGGGTGACGTAGCCGCCGACTCGTACCATCGTTACAAAGAGGACATCGGCATAGCAGCGGACCTTGGCGTAAGCACACTCTTAGCCATTTACTGACTATTTCCGACTATTTCTCATTAGCCGATGCATTTCTATATGCAACCATAATACTCAGTACTTCGTTCTTAAATACTTAAAACTTTCATTGTAATCTACTTAGAAAATGGCAATGTTATAGTACAGTAATTGAGAATTGTTAAGTAATACTGACAAAAAATACTAAGAATTATGGTTGCTTACAGAAATGCGTCTGCTAATGAGAAGTATAGTCAGTAAACGGCTGAGAGTGCAGAGTGCTGGCGAAACGCAAAGTACCTTTACTTTACTGGCAATACTCTACTGACTCGAGTGTGCACGTACACACACTACATTACTATGCAGTTTCTAGTGCATAAGCTACGCACGAAACTGTGCATACTTTTCAAAATGTAGGAATTTTATGCGCAAAAACGCACATTTTCGTGCGTCGTTGCGCACAGATTCGTGCATTTAGAAACGCATGCACAGTTTCTTTCATAGCTTATGCACAAGAAACTATACATTGTAATTAGCTGAGCGATAGCAAAGCCTGTTACTCCAATGGGGCTGAAAAATTTTTCCTGTCTGTCTGTCCGTCTGTGTGTCCGCACTACTCCTCCTGAACGGCTCGGCCGATCTCGGTGAGATTTGGCACACTTTTTGGGTATGTCCTTGGCTCAGCACACGCGACATTTCACCATCCTAGCTCAACTGGTTCAGTTTTTATAGCCGAAAAACACCTCAAAAACGGCGAAAAATAGAGCTTTCTGCAGATAGATCACTTCTGTCTCGGAGAAAGGGGGGTCTGGGGGGCGGAGCCCCCCAGCCTCGACAAGTTAAAAAGTGACAAGGGTCAAGATCGTGTTATCCGTAGATAAAACAACTCTATTTAGAATGTAGGGGGGTCTGGGGGGCGGAGCCCCCCTGCATTCAACGAGTTAAAAAATAACCGACAATGGACAAGCCATTGCCTGCCGCAGGCCAAGGTAGGTACGCCAGGCGTGGATTGGAGGAACAGGCAGCGAGACATCGCGAAGCCTCTCTACAAACTGAAGTGTGTACTAAGTATGCATCTACAGATGCATACCTGTTAAGTATGCACCTGTTAAGTATGCATCTGTAGGTGCATACTTGGCAAGTATGCATTAGTAGGTGTGTACTTGTCACCATATAAATGCCCAGTATCAAGTACACATCTTCAGATGCATACCAGTCAAGTATGCATCTGTAGATGTGTACTCAGCCAAGTATGCATCTGTAGGTGTGTACTTATAAGTATGCATCTGTAGATGCATACTGAGTACACACTTCAGTTTGTAGGGCTGTTACGACAAGACGCGGTCTGGCGTAAACCTACCTTGTTTAGTGTGCATGCTAGGTTGAAGCATGCCTGCAAACCCTCCACCTGGCTCCAACCTGGCATGTGTACATGTGTACACTGTACCTGGAGTCAACCTGACACTCCACGCTGGAGCATGCTCGCCAAGTACACGCCAGATGGCAACTGGGTCATTCCATGTCAACTCAACCCAGAGATGGAATCAATGTCTCCGATTTTGATGAAATTTTGCACAGAGGTCACAAAAAGTGTCTATAACACTCCCCTAAAATGGTTTTGGAAAATTTTCATTTTTGCATTTTTGGCGTTATTTTTGGTTTTTTGACCATTTTGGTGTAGTGTTTTGCGGAAACAAGCCTATCTTCCGCAATTTTTGAGCTAGAACAAAATTTTTTTTTCAAAATGCTCAGAATGAAACGAGGAATCCAAAACTGTTATCAGTTTTTGGATTTGAATTTTTTCAAATTTTTTTGTTTAATGTTCAAATTTTGAACGTTAAAATTTTTTGTGATTACCAATTTTGAAAAACTTGAAAACAGAGTATTTTGTGCCTTATAGTGTGCCTAAAAAGTGTGCAAAATTTGGTGGGGGTGTTTCGCCTCGTTTGGACAATAATTGACAGAGTGTGGAGAGATGCGCTTCAGTAACTTGCACAAACTTCGTAAATACGCTGTCCCAGGACGGTTTGGCTGTCCCCCGCACTCAACTTGACCTCCCCAACTGGAAGTACCCCCCCCCCCTCCCCCCCCTTCTCCCCTGGGTTCGTCGCGGGCGACAATCGCCAGCCGCCCTCACGCATCGGCATTTCTCACGAGTTTTCTTTCATTTGGCACTATTCACTGTCTCTTCACATTTCCAGCCGGACCCCGACGACAGCAGACAGGCTGTTCGGCGTCCGGCTGGCTGGCTGCGTGGCGGGGTTGCCGCTGCCGCTCCAGCCGGGACAGCCGGGCGCCGGTCGGTTCGGCGGAGCGGCGCGCGGGGCATGGAGGGGATAGCGGCGAGGGAGAGTGCGGGGCGGGAGGCGGGCAGTCGCCAGTGCGTCAGTGCGTCCTGCGGGCCTGCAGTGACAAGATTGGGCTGCGTGCCAAGTGCGTGCGTGCGTGCGTGTGGTTCGCGAATCGCCAAGATGCTGCGGTGCTCCGTCGGCACTCGCCGCAACTTGCAGTGCTCTGGGCGTCCGTTCATGTATCGGAAGACTCTGGACCCTCGACACGCTGAACTACTGGACAAAAGAGCCGAGTGCGAAGTGAACGTAGTTTGTGGATCGCATTACCGACAATTCATCACTTGCTACGCGGTTAGCCAGAAATTCTGCTGTGACCCGTTTGAAGCCCACCGCCTGAAGAATGTCTCCAGCTCGTTGAAACCTGTCTCAGCCCAGCTTCATGACAAGTGCGTTTCATTGTTACCAGCAGTTGTAGAGGGAAAAAAACTGTGCATATCGTGCCTGAAGGAGGTGCACAGCCGCCTTGCTGTGAAGTCACCGCAGCGGGACGAGGCGGCTGCACTGGCCACCTCACGCACACCATCTCAGCGCCAGCAACGAATCCCAACACCAGCCGCTGAAGCAGCATCTCCTGCGGCTCCGGGCTTCGTGGTTAGCAAGGGAATTCCCTGCGGTCCAGCGTCGGCGCCTCCCTCCATCACGTCGGACATCAGTGATGCCAGTTCCGGTGAGGTGGTGCCTTCGCCGTGTCAAGTGGCGCTTCAGCGGTGGAACACGGGAACGGGGCTCTTCGGAGGCTCTCCAGCTGATCGAAAAAAGCTGCAAACCTCAAACAAGTACAAAGAAAAAAAATTCGGCTTCGCTGTGAATTTGCTGAAAGACACTTTGAACAAGGCTGCTGGAAAAACTACTGAAATAACCACTAAATTTGAGAAGGCAGGGCAAGAAATGGTTAATCAGTTAAAGGATAAATTCGAAAACTCTGAAACTTATGCTGAGAAAATAAGGATATTGTCGGTTCTTCCTGCTAGTTGGACAAACGCCCAAATTAAAACAGAGTTTCAAGCTACCTTGCACATGATTAAAGTAACAAAAAAACTAGTTGCTGAACAAGGAATCTTGTGCACTCCAAATCCCAAGAAAGGAAAGGCACTATCTCCTGAAACTGAAGACATTGTCAAAAACTTTTATGAGCTCCCAGAGATTAGTCGTGAAATGGCTGGAAAAAAAGAATGCATAAGCGTGACAGCAAACGATGGAACTAGGTCTCTTGTGCAAAAGCGACTGATTCTTGGTGACCTGAAGGAAATCTATGACCTTTTCAAAACAAAGCATCCTGAAGTTAAAATAGGCTTCTCTAGATTTGCGTCACTGAGGCCACGCCACTGCGTGTTAGCAGGAGCCCCTGGTACACATGCAGTTTGTGTGTGCATGGTACATCAGAACTTTAAGCTCATGTTTATGGGTGCTTGTCTTGGTAGCCTAAAGTTAGGCGAAGAAAAGAGATTTGAACATTACCGCAATTTCATTACCGAAACAATGTGTGAAGTGCCTCTTGAAGACTGTCACATCGGCGCGTGCCAAAAATGCCCTGGAATATCCAAAGTAGGAGAAGATTTAAAAAATCTGCTGGCTGAGAACTTTATTTCTGAAATCACATACAAAAAGTGGATAAAAAATGAAAAGACAGGAAGGTTTTCACTTGAGACCATGCATCAAACAACAGATGAATTTGTGGAACAACTATTGGACTCGATCCCAGAGTTGAGACACCACGACTACGTTGTCAAGCAGCAGGCACAACACTATGAGAAAGTGAAAAATGGACTGAAAGAGAACGAAGTTCTGGTAGTGGCTGACTTCTCCGAGAACATGTCTTTTGTAATCCAAGATGCTATCCAGGGCGCCTATTGGAATAATGAGCAAGCCACCATTCATCCATTTGCCTGCTACTGGAGAAACCCTGAAACAAAAACAGTGGAACCTTTGAATCTAGTTGTCATTTCAGATCACTTAAAACATGTTACGACTACAGTAAGCAAATTTCAAGAAGTTCTTATCAGTTTCTTAAAAACAAAAATGCCCAATTTGAACAAAATTTATTACTTTTCTGACGGTTGTACCGGTCAGTACAAAAATCGGTACAACATGCAAAATGTTCTGAGGCATTATGATGACTACGGAGTCCATGCAGAATGGCACTTTTTTGCGACTTCTCACGGTAAGGGCCCTAGTGACGGGCTTGGTGGGACTTTGAAGAGAAATGCCACAAGAGCAAGTCTGCAGCGGCCCTACAACAACCAAATACAAACCCCTGAAGACCTGTACAATTGGGCAAAAGATAGATTTGAGAAAATAACATGTGCCTATGTATCTAGCAAAGAAGTAGTTATGCATTCAAAAAAAGTTGCAAAAAGATTTCTATCTGCACCTAGTCTGGAAGGAATACGGTCCCATCATTGCTTCATTCCAAGGTCACAGGAGCAAATAGAAATGAAACTCCTCTCTTCGTCTGCAAGTGGACGCATCATCCAGCTCCGTGCAACCAGGTGGCCAGCTGAAATGGAAGAAGAGGGACTGGGAGAAGACGACATTGATGCTATGACAGGAATTGCTTCTCGCACAAGGTAAAAGATATGACACATTTGAGAATATTAGAAATGAATAATAATGCATCAAATTAATTATTTTATTCTTTCTTTTCAGGCTGCAAAGTAGTGCGGTGAAGAAAACAAGAAAAAGAAAATATCAACAGGCTGGGTCTCCAGAAATCGCCGTCAACCTAAGGCTGCAAGGTGCTGAAAAGAGAAGGCGCAAGTCACAACAGCCCGAGTCACCAAAAATCGCCTCCCGAACCAGGTAAAGGTCATTTCGCTGATGAATTGTTTAAAGATATATTAACACTTCAGATAACAACTACATATCTCTTGTTCCAGGTCAAGGCAAACCTAAAAGAAGCAACAAGAGAGTAAAGAGATGTAATATTTAATTAATTAAACATTTGGAAATCATCTTCAAGTTTTCTTTTCTCGAAAACATTATCAAAAAACCCTTTTTTTCCATCACACGAAAAGTTGAGGAGGGGTGGGGCTTAAGTTGAGTGCAGGGGACAGCCAAACCGTCCTGGGACAGCGTATTTACGAAGTTTGTGCAAGTTACTGAAGCGCATCTCTCCACACTCTGTCAATTATTGTCCAAACGAGGCGAAACACCCCCACCAAATTTTGCACACTTTTTAGGCACACTATAAGGCACAAAATACTCTGTTTTCAAGTTTTTCAAAATTGGTAATCACAAAAAATTTTAACGTTCAAAATTTGAACATTAAACAAAAAAATTTGAAAAAATTCAAATCCAAAAACTGATAACAGTTTTGGATTCCTCGTTTCATTCTGAGCATTTTGAAAAAAAAATTTTTGTTCTAGCTCAAAAATTGCGGAAGATAGGCTTGTTTCCGCAAAACACTACACCAAAATGGTCAAAAAACCAAAAATAACGCCAAAAATGCAAAAATGAAAATTTTCCAAAACCATTTTAGGGGAGTGTTATAGACACTTTTTGTGACCTCTGTGCAAAATTTCATCAAAATCGGAGACATTGATTCCATCTCTGGGTTGAGTTGACATGGAATGACCCAACTGCAAGTGCACTGTTGAGCAAGTTGCCTACGTTTTGCATAGAAGAGCAACAGTGTACTTGGCAAGCATGATCCAGCGTGTAGTGAACATGTCAAATTGACTTCAGATAGTGTGCATGCCAGGTTGACTCCGGACGGAGTGTACTTGGAGGCATCATTGCATGCTCATCATTGAAAAGTCAATCGTTTGAACCGAACAATACCGTCAGCTAATCGGTAATATTTTATTTTTGTTTTTTTGGCAGTATAATGTGTTCCGATTTTCAATATCCTGGACAAGGTTATTACCTAATGGGAGAACGTCAAATGTCAACGCAAAGGGTGTTCAGCACTACCATGACCTTCTAGCCGAGCTCAAAGCCAAGAAAATTGAGCCCCTAGTAAGTTTCGGATACACAAACAGGACTGTGCTGCGCTGCCTACTGCCACACACGAAATTACGATGCCCTCTTTGTGCTTAAGCTTTGCACAAAATTGAGCACGCGTTTCGATATGTACCAAATTTACGCGCAACAATGCTCACTTTCGTGCTTAGTTGTACTCTCAAATTCGTGCATTTCAAAACAAATGCTCAATTTTGTGCGAAGCTTGTGCCCCAAAAAAGTACATAGAGTGCATGCGCAACTTTTGTTCCGTTGTCTAGATAACAATGTGTCACTTCGACTACCCTCAAGTCTTCGAGGACGAGTTCGGAGGATGGCTGGGCGATGAGATGCCAGACGTGTTCGCAGAGTACGCCGACTTTGTCTTCAATGAGTTCGGCAGCGAGGTGAGCCAGCGAACCGTCTTGGTTCCGTGTGGGCCAAATCCAGTACACTTGGAGAAAAAAAAAGTGCGGACCCACAAAATCCAAATCAATATGACAAGTTTATAGTGTGGCAAAACCCCCGCCCTGGATCTACGCGGTTTTGTAGGCCATTGAGGCTTTCCTTTGAAAAGGAAACACCCACCACAACAAGACAGGAGAGGGATCGGGTGGATGATGAAATAAAAAATCTGGTGCCTTCCAATGCAATGGATTGTCAGGTCAAACATAACATGCGGCTGACAATGATGGATGTGAAAGCATGCAATGCTATTACTGACACTGACTCGACTCAGAGGTGTTACGTATGCAAGGCAACACAGTCTCAATTTAATAATATAGAAGACATGAAAAATAGAGAAATAGATGAAAGTACATTGCAGTAAGGACTGTCCTCCTTGCATGCTTGGCTGCGCACCCTAGATTTTATTTTGAAGCTGTCTTACCAGTCTAATAACGACTCAAAAGAAAAAAATAAATAAGAAAAACAAGAACAGAAAAAAAAGATGTGCAACACAATTTCAAAGAAAGGACTGGGCTGTTGATTGACGTCGTCAAGAAGGGGATGGGGACCACAAACAAAGGCAATACAGCAAGAAAGTTTTTTGAAAATATTCAAATTACTTCTGAAACCTTGCGTGACCCCATGCTCCCTAGTAGGGCAGCGGGCACTACGACTATGCAGAAATCCTACCGCATCTGAGGTTGCGGAGACGCCGCGCGAGGTCGGAGTGCCTTGCTGATTCGAACCGCTACAGGTCTGTACATACCTCAAATTGCTTCCACTGTAAAAAATTCCGTACTTTTGTACGGAAATGGTACTGAAAAATATAGTACGGAGGTACGGAGAAAAGTACGGAACGTTCCGTACTTGCTCCATATGAACCCATGTAAATGGGTACGGAAAAAAGGTACGGAACGTTCCGTAGTTGGCATGTACGGACGTTCCAGGCAAATTATTGACCAGACATGTTCCGTACTTTTTCCGTACTTTTTTCTCACAGTGTCCTTTCCTTTGAAGTTATCACCATTCCTCCTTTTGAAAGTTATCACTATTCCTCCTTTTTAAAGTTATCACTCCAAGCACGCCAACTGTGCTTCTTGAGCCCTTCGTCAACCGACGTTCACCGCGCCACTATCGGTGCTCTGCACTGTGTGTTGGTTTATAGTTTGGAAGATAACCCTTTGTGGTGCACTCATCTTCTTACATCAGAGGGTCTTGCCATTTCCAATGATTTGTGGAGATGCGCGTTTCACCCCACCGCAGTCACCACTTGCAGTGTAGGGCACTACAAGTGATTAGGACGGGTAAGTGACGACAGAGAGGAGGTGTTCACAGGTTTATTAGGAGATCCGCACAGACCGAGACCAGCCTAATAGCGCTGATGATGATGATGCAACCTCTCCGAACGCTTTACGAACACATCCCAGGCTATCAGCAGCGGCACGATGCCATTCCAACCGATTTGGGTGTCCGCAGCCTCTCCGAACGCTTTCCAAACCAGGTCCAAGCGCGGTGGGGAGCCGATGCCGTTCCGGATGGTTTCGGATGATCCGTGACCACTCTGAATGCCTTCCGAACCCATCCCGAACCCTGGGCGGCGGGAACAGCTGTTCCGCATTGAATACGTCCCCACTTATTTCGTCCCCAGGCATAACGTCCTCTTTTTATATGTCCTCAGTCCTATTACCCGACTTATGTCCCCAGCTACGTCCTGACTACAGTTCTAAGTTTTCAAGGTTGGAAGGCACACTATTCCTCTTCCTATTGCACCAAACAACGGGCGATTGGTAGCGCGAGGTAACTCACATTTTTCTCCAATTGATCCATGAAGCAGAAGAAGAGGGCGTAACCTCCAAATTGAGTTTATACCTTATTATTGTGCCTCAGGATAGTTTGCATCTCTACACCAAATCATTTGACTCAATCCCCAGCAGTTTAGGAAAAAATCCACATGAAAAATTGATATAACTCAACTTGACCCCTTTTACGGTAAAAGTGGAGTCAACTCAACTTAACTCCAAATTACTCGCTTTTGTTGCCCCGATTATATTCCGCGCGGGAAGAGAAACGAGTGGATACTCCATACCTTCAAAACCTTGTAATTGGGGACAAATCGACAAAGGACAAAAAAAGCTGAGGACGTATTAGGTGGGGACGAATTGTCGTAGGGACGTGAGGACAAGGGACGAAAGGCCATGGATCCCTGGGCGGCGGCCCGATGGCATCCCGAACACATTCCATACCCACATTCGGCATCCGATGCCTTTCCGAACGGCTTCGGATCGCCTGTCGGAACGTAATCGGCAAATGCACCAACCCGAACGGATGCCGAAATCCGGAAAGCAGCCGGAATGGTGTCGGGCGATGGCCTACCGAAAACTTCGGAACGGCCCGCCTGGGTTTATTTGTCAAACATGAAGGAACAAAGTCTGTTGAAGATGGTGACCGAACGTACCGTAAAAGGGGGTAATATGAGACAAATTTCGAGGTTTTTTGTAAATTTCCCCCTTTTAATTTCAACTTGAGGTGCTGAGGTGTTCATCACTTGTTCATTGACCCTTTGGCTACACTCCCTCCAAATTTCAGATTTTTAGGTGCAGGAGGGACCTTTCAATAACCCTCGGAAGGCCGTCCCATATTTCCCTGCAATGTTGGGTAATATGAGACAAAAGAGAAAAATGGTAAAGAAGTATGGAGAGTGAACCCATTTAGGCGGGTTTGGAGCTTTTTAGGTTCTTTTCATTCATTTTTAAGGTGATTAGGGACTATAAGGAAGAAGAGATAAAATCTGGAGGGAAGAAAAATGGGTGTCACTCAAGAGAGCTGAAAAATGTCTAAGAAGTCATGAGTTGTGCCTGTCACATGACAATACTAAACGAAGAGCATAGATGCCGGTCAGATATTAAACCAATTCGTGTTAAAATCATTATTACTTGAAATTAATAACAGTGGAGTATGTTTGGCCTCATGTTTCAAACGAAAAGAGGTGTCTCTATTTTCCATGCAAGGTAACAACATTGTATTCCATCTGGAACAGGCGGCCCGGGAGTAGACATAACAGAACCAAATTTTGTCCTGATTATGTTAACATGATTGTCTACAGATTTAAACCTCGTTCGGACGAGAACCCGAGTTCCAACCGAGGTTTCTGGGGAGGTTTTAGCAAACTTTCTGAAACCTGTCAGAATTTAGAGGATTTTCGTTTGGTTCTTAATAACCCTGGCGAGGCTCCGATTGCCTTCGTGCGTTTCCTATGAGCTGCCAAGGCCTACTAGATCACGAAAAAAAATTCACGATGGTCTTCGGAACAACCGCTCGAGAGCAACACGACAAAAACCAATAAAAGGGAGCTTTGTCTCAATTTTCCTTCATGTCTCATATTACCCCGTTCTACGGTAGGACACAACAGGAACAACCGGCCTTCCTAGAAAGAACAGTTCGCAACCGTGAAGCTACCGCCATCGTTCAGGTCATTCAAGAAAGATGCTGAGGGAAACTCCTTGGAGGACGTGGAGTGGGTGATCGGCTTCTTGAAACCGTTCAAGACTCGGACCGACCTTCATCAGGGGCAGACCTACCCCACGCTGCCGTGCGCCCTTCTCTCCATCAGGCTGCTGCAACGGCACTGCTATCCAGACGCGAGGGACTCTCCGGAGCAGAGGGTCCTCCGAGCAAAGACAGGCAGAGTCCTGGTCGAGGAAGTGGCGATCCTGGACGAGTACAAGGTGGCCACGTTCCTCTGGCCTAAGAACCGCCACCTGCTGATGCTGTCTGTCGAAGAGCGTGAAAATGTAAAGAATAACCTTTGGTGACTTCGCATATTGGTCTCTGGACGCTTGTTTAGGTTAGGTTAGTTGCGCATCAGCCCTTTCGGGCATGCTCCACGAGGAGAAGATGAGGAGGAAGAGGCGCATCGGGAAGCGTGCCTTGCAATGGAATTGCAACAATGATAAAAATTTTGTCGTAACTTAGCGACACCTTTATCGCTAACTGATGTTTGATCGAGGTTAGGGATTGATGAAGACTCAAAAAGCTTTGTCGGACTTGGTTTATTATGACTTTCAATCTACTGTACAACATACACACGTCTGCACGCCACCGAACACACAGCACAAGAGAGCAAGGCACCGACGCGCAGCCCCGGGGTACACTCGTCCGCCACCAGGGAGCGCCACCGACGGGGTATACAGATACACATTCACATTCAGATAAAGGCTAGATGAGAATTCGCTTCGTCAACACTAACTTTTTTAGCGACAAGATTTGCTGTGGAACGAATAGCTTGTTAAACCATAGTCGTACTGGAACTAAAGGATAATTTCACAACGACTAACTTGTAATAACACATGAACAGTCCACCTTCAAAAACAAGTCGTTGACCAACAACAAATGTTGTTAGTCAACGACAAGTGTTGTTAGTCGAAAAAGATTTTGTAATGTCTGCGACAAGTATTCATGGAGTACTTTTGTCGCTTAATTTATTTTGCATGGTTCTTTTATAACAGTAGTGATTTCTCTATGTCTTAGAAGATCAAAACAGATGATTATTCACAATATGCTTTAATTGAGCAGATAATTTCAAAAGATGTTTGTTTCCACACAAATTGTATCGTTAAGGATAAGAGGAATTTTGTTTTTTAACGACAAATTGTCGCTTACTAGATTCAACGACATTTGTTTCGCTTTGGTTCATGATGAAATTCTATGTTTTGGAACGACTAAATTTTCACTCATCTGATTGTTTCTGTACAACCATTTTTTAACAGTCAAGGGCTGGCTCGCAGCGCAACCCGGATCGCATGGTGTCCCTTGCATTTTTCTTGTGCGAGTGTGAGGGCTGCCTTGCACTAATGCAAGGCAGACCCGAGCAGACCGCACTCCACTCCTTACGGGACCGGCAAAGCGGTCCTTGCACCTTTGCTTGGCGCGCCCTTCACGAGCGAAGAAAAGCGCAAGGCATTGGGTGCCGATCTGCAAGGCACCGGCAAGGCACAACGAAAGCATTGACCTGCACTTCCTTCGGTTGCATGGCAAGCCTTGCAGTTAAGTATGTAGACATGCTAAAGAAGGTCGGGCCCCTAAAGAAAGAATTAGATTCTCTGAAAAAAGAGGCACATGAAAACGAAAAGGAGGGTGAGGGCGTGGAAAACCTCATAGATCCAGTGGCGCCCACAGAAATTTCATTTGAGGGGGGGGGGACTGATATCCAGCCTCTTACAACCCCCTTTTTTCTCTTCTTTTTCCTCTCCTTCTTTTCTCTTCTTCCCCTCCTTTCCTTTTTCTTCTCTTTCCCTTTCTCTTTTTCCCTTCCCTCACCACCACCGCAACCACCCACCCACCCTACATTAAGGTCATATGGAAGATAGGTCTGCGCAACCGAGA